AAACCATGCTTGAAAGACCGATCGGATTTGCCTTCAAGGTTTGGAGAGAATCGAGGATGGTTCTGTATTTCAAATTGTTTTTGGAGGCGGGGATTTATCGCCACGTTTCTGACCTGGTTGACCTAAATGCGACCATATTTCGCGGAAGGAAGGCCAAGGTGAGAGGGGAAAATGAGAAATTTCGGTACACGACGAACTTCAAGCCAGTCCAGCTGGGGGACAGTATTCAAACAGTGTTTATTATGTTAGTCGCATGTCTTGCGGTATGTTTTTGTGTGGCGATTTTTGAACATGTGAAGTACAATGGGATAAACATTTCGAGTATCGCATTTATTTGGTCAATATTTATGAAAGGCCGGAAATTAAGGTGTCGCACATGGCGATCAGCTTAGGAGAACTACTCTTTCGCGGAACTCCATCCAAAATAAGATGACACTTATTGGCTTGAGCATGTTTCGAAAATACGACTTGGGTGCATGGACACGTTGACTTTGAAAGAATACGAGAACACCCGAATTTATATGCTTAACAGAACCAATGGCAGCGAGCACGCACATATGTATATGTACATACATATTTATGCAAATACGTGATTCATTCTTACACTTGATGAGCTTGATAGATCTACATACATAAGTGCATGCGTGTAAATTTATTAAGCATGCATTTCCACGGGAGTAATTAGTCTAAGGATTTTTGAAAATAATTAATTAATAATTGCTGAATGGGTGTACTCATCCATGCAACAATAATTTTTCTAATTTATCAAATTATCGGAAAAACTAATGACTGGATGTATTTTTTTCCCGCATTTATGAAAACGTGCAAAAGTTCACCTTTAATTTATCGGGAGGGGCAAGTACGTACACCTTGACTTTTTTAGCTACTTTAAATAGCTAAAAAACGTACTTTTAAGGTACTTAGTTATTCGGCTGTACGAGTACTTAAGTTTGGAAAGAGTTTTATGACTGTCTCAACCTATGGGGGCTGTTGGGAAGGCATTGTTGAAAATAGAGAGTTGGTTTCACAACCCTTGACAAAGACAGCATGCTCGTCTGTTCAAAATTTTGACCCGCTACGACAAACCGTTCCGGGTTTATTCAACGACAAATTCGTTATCAGTTAAAAAATCGACGCTCTGTAAATGACCATCAACATCTGTCAATCAGTCATCTGTAAGTGTTGTTATCCAAGTTGAAACCCTGCCAACAAAGTATTGAGGATTTTTATGGCATCTTTTTTGGAACTGATTAAGAATTTAATTAATCAAACTACTACAACCAAGATAATATTTCGACTGATTCGCCAATTCCATGCATTTTACTTACATACATGGATACCGAATTTAAACGACAAGCTATTTTTTACATACAGACTAGACTATAAACATATGTACATATGCATATTCATATGCATAATGACATCTTCTTACGGTTCTAATAATCTGTAGATTGGTATGTGTACTATTCTGTATATTTCTAAATTGTTAAAATTGTTCAGAAAACGGATATATGTACTGACGGCTGAACGATTTTTTGCAACACTGTCGCTACCTACACTTTTGCATGCGTGCTCGAATGGTCACACGTAATTGTTCAATTATACATACTTTGGGTGTTATAAAAATTCTAAAAAATGCAAGTTTCCCTTCAATTACTAATCTAAATGAATAATTGGTAAACTTATGCAAATTGTTATTCCTTTTGTGTAATATGTTCCATCCGGTTTAAGAAGCTTAAAGCTCAATTATAAACTACTTATGTAGATACGAATTACAAAATTACTGTAAAGTTAGTTCAAACAGTAATAAAAAATCTAGAAGGGGGTTGGGTTACAGTTAATAAATATGCAAATTTATATTTCCCTCCCAAGCCTAAAAACTTGATAATATTCTCTGAAACTCCAATTTCCCAAACATAATGTTTGCCCTTGCAAATTTTCTATCTTTCTTTGCTCACTGCATCCTAGAAATTACAAATTTCCAAGATATGGCCAACCCCACCATCGTCACTTCTCCCGTATTCCGAAAACAACTATCTTACAAAACTCATCCTCCTCCAAAACTTGACATGCACAATATCTTTTGTTTCATTCAAGTGCTTAACCTACAAAATGCTACTTTATTCAATAAATTTCTTCAATATTCCCATCCAAGCGAGCGACCTGCAGATTTTATAATTTTCACCAATCCTCTCACCCCAAACCTTGACAAACTTACACATCATTTACTCACCAAATCCAGCATAACGAAAGCCATCTTTCTGCACGTTGACTGCAACTACCACCTCGTTAAAACAATCCATATTTTTACCCCAAACTTGGAGAAATTTTCCCAACTAAAATCCCGTACTCCGACCCTTCTATCCACAGAAATGCAAACCTATTGGTCAAATCTGCTCAAAGACATGAACGGATTACAAGTCTATCTCCACTGCGGCGATAGTAACGCCAATTTCGCCTCCTCCCTCCGAAACGTTGCTGAAGCTGAAAATTTTTTCCGCTACTGCAGCAGCGACGAGGTCAGTAGGCATTCTTTCTATTCCAGCGTACAACTCAATATCATCTTCCCCCCCAAATGGTGCACCCTGCTGCATTTTATACTAACTAAAAATCTCTCCTCGCCCCAGCAACGAAACGATAAAGTAAACGGCAACCTTCGATTTGTGAATTTCGCCCCAGTAAAAGACCTTCCCACCCGGCACGTCCGTTTATTTCCGGTCATCCACTACTTTGGAGGCCTGTCTTACACAATTTTCGTAAATAAGAGCGAACTTGCACTAAACCTATTTTTGACGGAGCCTTTCGACCAGTACACGTGGACCTTTCTAATCGTCTCAGCTACCCTGATGGCACTTACCTTGTCAATTACGGCCTCACCTAAAAATCGGAAACTACTTGCCCTCTTTCCGTCCGCCCTGTTTTGGTGTGTCTCAACCATTCTGGAAAACTCGGTATCTTCAATTGAAAAACAATTAAGGCGAACCCGTCAAGGGGGGTGGCTTATCGCTATCTGGTCCTTAATGATGATCATCATCACGAACACTTATTCTGATCTAGTTTACGCTTTTTTTATGTCTACTCCAACCCCTGTCGGCATTCCGGACACTTTTCCCGCTATTTTGAGCCAATCAGATCTAGCCATTTATACTTTCACGTATTCCCCGGCAGCCGCAAGAGGAGATGATCTCCTCCATGATGCAAATATTCCAAAGTCCAGAGTCAAAACGGTTGACGGATTTGAACGCGATCTTGGTTTATTTAATAGAGCCATTCTTTCTCTAAGTTACACTGGATCTGTTGGAGGGGTCCAGATAGCGCGGAAGTTTGTGGCTTTACAGAAAAATGAGGAACTCTTCTACTTCGCGATTTTAATGAGAGGAACGAATAGATTTTTTGAAGTTAGAAATGCTGATTTCCGCCTGGTTAAGATAGCTTCGGGTTGGTACGCGTCGGACAATGTGGTTGGGGAGTCATTTGCCAAACATTTGCAGACCTTGCAGGATAATGGGATTTATTCGTGGTGGACGATGAGGTATGAGGGATTCTTTACGAGGGGGACGAAGCAAATTATTCGGGAGGATGTCAAAAATATTACTGGCGATGATGGCGGTATTGAAGAAGAAACGGCGAAACGTTGCCTGTCTATGAGCCAATTGAAACCCTGTTTTTTTATGCTATTTTTGAATTGTTTGCTCGCTGGGGTTTCTCAGGTGTTTGAAAGTGCATGGGTTTTTAGTATTTCTAGATAAGTATTCTAATTTCCCAGCTACATAAAATGATCACTTTGTATAAATATCTAAGATGATATAAACTTTGTAGATTAGATATGTAGCGATAGCAGAGCGACTATGTAATTTTCCCATATGTACCTACATGAGTATTTTTCTTGATGTCGAATGCCGTAATTTATAATTCAAGAAAGTTTGACATCCTAAAACCTGGAAATTGGAAGTTTTCATTTATACAAAACTTTTGATCACTTTTGCGTCGGAATCTCACAGGAGAAACATCTCACTCTTGGAAATTTTACACCGAACTTGTAAAAGTAAACATGGATATTTCCAAATCTTACTTACATTTTCAGAATTGTAAAATTATTTACATTAAGTTGCACATTGTCATAAATTATGGTTCTCCTTGCAAAGGGCAAATGTATTAATTGATTATGCATGCTTACACGTTTGTACATACATACATAGATAAATACAGACATAAATAGAGATTGATAACAATAAAGATGAAATATATGTATGCATATGCTCAGTAATTATATAGGCATAGGCTCTTAGTGGGGACGGGGGGGGGTAATGGTCTTGCGTTACACTAGTGTCACAGAGGGGGGAGGGGAGGGGTCTTCTATTTTTTACATATATAATTTATGAACGACATTTCGTAGGAGAGGGTTTGAAACAATTCGGTAAATTCGGGGGATTGAACGAGGTATAACGTTTAAGTCTGTGGGTGCGGAAATTCTTGGGCTCGTAATTGTAATGCAAGGCAACGAAAACGAGTGGAATTGACAAATTCATGGTTTTGGAAGAAGAATTTTGGTTTAATTCCAGATTAGACTCATGAAATTTGGCAGGAACTGGCTAATGGTGAATTGAGACGGTGGAGTTAAAGATTGATAAAGACTTAAATATGCAGATATGCATGTAATTAGTTAATTATGAAATCGCAGTGGAAATTTATGCTGCAGCATTCGCCGGAAAGGAATATTGAGTAGGCATGTGATACTGTTAATATGTAAGTAGGAAGCATTATGGTGTGCTTGAACATGAACTTTAGTAAAGTAAAAGAGGCCAATACTGAGAAGTATCCGGGATAAGATACATAGTACTAATGGGGGTGCAGATTTACGACGAAAACTAATCTCAGGATCAGTGAACATAACAACGAATTCGGGTTAGACATGGACGTAATGTACATTTAAAATAATGCAATCTCCTAATTTCTCTGCGTACGTATGTATCTTAAGAATATGCTTAGCGATTGGAACGTCAAGTCTTGTTTTTATTTTGTACATTGATTACAGCTTAAAACACTTATTGCTAAATATTTGCTTAAGAATGACCCTAAATTATTTACTTAATTTGGCATTGTAACGTATGTAAGAACTTGTTAGCAACAAGTAAATAGTTTAAAAGTTTACGTCAAAACCAAAATTGCAAGTATTGCAATAATTGTGACGACTATTCTATCGACACACCGATTGGACCAAATGGCTTGCGATTTTCCATGCTTACTATCGCTCTTATATTTTTTATCGCTTCCTTGCTCATGTGGCACTTGCGCTACTACTTTGGACTTATCAACACTTTGGCAGGTACAAATCTCCCCGGAGAAAAATGCTTTGACTCCATCATGTGATCCTCGTGAAATAAACACCTTGACCATGTCGTCAATTTGGCAAGGGTTTCCGGTCTTTCTGCTAGTGCATTGCGTGCGTGAGGTGCAGTACTCTGATTTGTTGGGGAGATATTCTGTCGGGCCGCAAGTCGTACTTTCTCCCCAGCGGCAGGACCCCAGGCTCAAATTCGGGACGAAACGAGCAGCATGACCGCTGGGATGGTTCTCACCTGCAATTTTTGTAAACTGTACGCACGTCAACCTTCTCATTTCTCGTAACTTGTCCACAACAACGAAAGTTCTGCGAGCGGATTGTGACCTCACAAAACTTTTGCTGGAGAACAGAACCATGAAATTTATTTGCAAATTTAGCTAGCAAGTGGGCATGTTTGCATTTCGCGAAATGAGTGTGCAAACTCGTCTTCTTTACCTCAAATGATATGTAGAAATTACGCAAATTAAATCAAAATAGGACACCAGAACTATTGTCATAGTTTTGCGAAATTTATTAAATCATAAACCACCTAACAAACAATTTTTTTGAGCTTAGAAAATTTGCTAAATGAGCTGTGATTTGATTACGCCTTTCGTGAAGTTTACTCGAATTTATTTTTCTCCAATAATATATTTTGGAATTTTGGAAAAGTTTGAAATTTTTATCATAAAACATTTGTATCTACCGTTTAGCCAGTGTTTCATTAATTTACGAGTTAAGTTACGAGCTACGAGTTACGAGTTACTTATTCGTGCTAAATTACTCACCTAAAAATGAGCGCCTGCCAGCATCACCACACACACATTTTGCACTAATTTCATCGCAAACCAACAATTTTTCCCCCGCGCAAAGCGGAAATCCTAGTTTGACAATTTCCGACTGGAATATATACATTTCGTAGATTTTTTCTACCTCATTGGGTTTTCCGGTCAGGATTGATTTAGCAAAATCTTCTCTAATTTCTTCCGCAGCGTAGGAACAATTGTCTCCGTACGAGAGGGCGTCAACTAACTTCGTAAATTCAAGGGGTTGAACGAGATCACGTTTTAATCTGTGACTAGGAAAAGTCTGAGGTTGGAAATATGATAATGTAGCGAAAACGAGTGGAATGGAGAAATGCATGGTTTTAAATTGGACAAAATTTTGAGCCTGAAGACGATTTAGTGTGCAATTAAAGAAGCTTGTCTGCTTCCACTCGAAGGAAAAAGATTAATGAAACGTTGAGATGAAGTATTGATCAATACAAATTTGGTTATGAAACTGGAGTGGAAATTTATGCGTGAGCATTCGTAAGGAAAATACGTTTATGTATTTACCGTGTCGGACATCATCACACAATTGATTGAATTCCGTTAACAATTTTCTAAAACATAAATTGGTCAGGATTTGCAAGGTGGTAACCCAGAAAGATTGTGGCGTGCTACTGTTCCTGTTTTTGAAAATGTTCAAAATTTTCAAAGGTCCTAATTTTTTACCTAGAAGCTCATTTTTCAGCTACTACATTACTAATTTTTTCCTTCTTTGTATTTCTGCATTGATCGACCTACACATTTTGAATATTATGAGACTGTACCGTGCACACTTCTTTACGATGTTTGCAAAAAAAGTTATGAATTTTTGTATATTATGTAAGTGGTAGCTGTAAAATAAGCTTTAGGTAAAAGATGATGACCTTTGACCTGTTTTACCTTTTCATGAACATTAATGCATCAAGCACTGTTCATCTGACAGGCTGTTTATTAGTTAAAATAATTAGTTAATTTAGATAATATTTACACAATTTTGGATACCCGTATAAGCGGACGTACTCACAACAACGTAAACACATAAACTTAAATATTTCCTATAACAGCACAATTTGTTAAATAAGTATTCTATAGACATAAGTATGTCCAGTTAGTAAATAAATTTGAAACTAAAATTGCATGTTCTGCAAAAGAAGTGTTGCAAAAAATGTCACAAATTTGATAAAAATTCGAAAATTACTTGTATCCCCATTACATACACACTTATATCTTCCTCTCTAAAGTATGAACTCGAAAATGCTTCACTAATTCCCAGAAAGTGACGAATTCCTTCCCACAGAAGTAACATTCATGCCTCGGATCATTGTGGCGTCTCATATGCTGAGCCAAATTGACTTCCGAGTGGCTCTTGTACTCGCAACCGGGGCAGGCAAAAATCGGCTCTTTATTCGTGGCGTGTACCGCTCCCACGTGACGCTTCCAGTCTGCTGAACGGGCGAATCTCTTGCCACAAAAGGTGCACAGGAACTTCCTCTGATTTTCGTGCACAGCTCGGACGTGGCGTTTTAGAGCACTCCTATTCGAGAAGGTCTGCGGACAGATGCGACACTGGCACACGGCTCGGGCATATTGTGCCAAATGTGTCACCTGTAAAAAGAAAATGCACATTTTAAGGTTCCCATGGATGACGTGTTGGCGCGTAATCTCACTCTGCCCATACCCAATGTCTTCAAATGCAATTTCTAAAATCGAATCAACTCCATGAGTTTTGAGATAAATGCAACTTTTGATATTTTAACCTCTAATTTTTGGTACTACAAACAAGTCGATTTGAAAAAATTAAAAAATTCATTTTCGAGGAAATTTATTGTGAAAAATCGGCAAACGCATTTTTTTTAATTTTTTTCAAATCGACTTGTTTGTAGTACCAAAAATTAGCTTTAGATTAACATATCAAAAGTTGTATTTATCTCAAAACTCATGGAGTTGATTCGATTTTAGAAATTGAATTTGAAGACATTGGGTAGGGGCAGAGCGAGATTACGCGCCAACGCGTCATCCATGGGAACCTTAACCTTGTTTTAAAAAAAATAAAGTCCTTTACCTCGTGACTTTTCATATTTTCCCTGCGGGCAAAACTCCTCCAACACGTGGCACACTTGTACTCCTTTTTCTTCGTCCTGGTGTGGGTGGGAATGTGAGCTTCAAGTTGAACCCTCGTTTTGAACTTCTTTCTGCAAAGTTCGCACGGAAATCGGACCGGATTTTTTACATGTTCGGTTTTCACGTGGTCCAAAAGATCGTCCTCGTGTAGGTAGGTTTCCTCACAGTCGCGAAACTTACATGGAAAAGGGGGTCCTTCCTCAGTGAGGTGGGTGATGTCGATATGTCGCTGTAAAATTGAAGGGGTAGCAAACACCCGGTGACAAGTGTCACACCTTGGTCGGTTCCGATTGGTGTGAATGTACCACTTGTGGTTGGATAAGACACGTCTGTTTTTGAATGTTTTTCCGCATTCCTATAAGTACAGAAATGAGGACGTGTGAGAATTGTATTGTAAAATTGGTTTGACTTTGGTCAATTTTCACCCTCACCTCGCACGTGACTTTGGCATCGGGATCGTGCGTGACCATGTGTGCTGTCAAGTAGCTTTTGGTTTTAAACGTTTTTGAGCACGTTGCACATTCCCATCTCTGTTCTGGCTGCGGATCCATGTGGATTCGGTGTTTGTGGACTTGTGTATATTCGAAATCAAGAAATTGAGCTGCAAGAAAAATGTTTGTTATATTCATAAAAAATTTCAACAAGTTTGAACCAATAATGCATACATTTTAAGAGAATAAGCGAGCATGAAACACGTTTCCAGTAATTTTTACCGATAGTAAGGAGGTATGCATTATTTTTTCGTATCCTTAGTATCGTAGAATGGTTACAAAGCTTAACCTTTATTAACTCGATCCTCGATGACAAACTGTTACGACTATTACAAAATCTTGTAACCGCCGTAACTTATTTTGCGAATCCGAAGAATATTAAGGATACGAAGAAATTTTTAATAGCTTCCAAAATTTATTAAAACAACGAGAAACGAATTTCGTGCTATTTAAGAAAATCTGGAATTTGGTCCGCTTCATTCGACAAACTATGTAGGTTAAGTTTCGTTGCTTACCGTGTGCTGAGTAGGATTGTTTAATGATTAGTCACTTATGCATGTGCTGCTCAGGAGTAAGTGAACCTGTAAAACTAAAATTTTGGTTCGTTTAGCTTGGAAGAGGTAGCTTTTTTACGCATATAAAAATAGAAAGTGCCAAAATTCCTGGAAAAATGACCCACCATCCTTTTGGGTATCATACATAAATCATGGAAGTAGCTTTGAATTTTTGGGAGAAGTTTCGTTCAAAAGAAGGTCCAATAACGAGGGGAATATGTATGCGTGATTTATTTTACATATGTATAATGCATTTGTGTTTATTTAGCCAGAGTCAGGGTTAGTGCTATTTTTAGTCCGATCGCCCTTAACTACTATCCTAGGTATTCTTAATCGTCAAAAACATTCCGATCGTCAAGCATGCAAAATTTCAACTTCTTCAAAACTAAGTTGTAAAAGCAAACATAAACTAGATTTTGGGCTCTATTGTTTGGTACGATTGGGCACTGATTACTTATACGTTAATCAGCATTCATAAGTACATACATATGTATATGTACGTATGGTCAGTTGGGTGAAGGTCTATCTCTGTCCAGTCCTTAAAACATTTACGACTTTTACAGTAAATTTAGGTTCTGATTTTAGATGGTAATACATTTTTTGAGAATAATAACCAGTTTTTTTTACTTTTACTATACTTATGATTTGAGACGAATTCATTAAACATGCGACGCATGTCATTAATTCATGCTTCCATTTTATTTGTTTTTCAGGAGGATTCGTCACATTTCTATGCACATATGTATGTACGTAGTAAATTATGAGATGATCGGATTTTAAAACCTTTGCAATTCGCATTTTGTATTCAATTCGCCTATAAATATTTTGTGGTGCATGTTCGTTCTAGTTGGAAATTTGAAATGAAACATTATAAACAATTGTTCGGCGCTGATACAAATTATCAGGAATTATTTATTTATCAAATTCATCAAGTCACAGTACTATCATTCAAAAGAAAATTAAAAAATTCAACATGAAATATATATCATAGAAATAATCCGAAATCCAAAAATATGAAGTAAAAAAACACGAGTTAGAAGCATCCACAATTAATTAATCGGTATCAGTAAAAAATGTAATCCCAAATTTCTTCAAGTCTTCCGGAATCCTGGGATAATCTCCGAGCCGAACATGTTCCAAAGTGCCGGCATAAAGACGACAATATTTCCTGAGTTCCTCCGTCCATTTTTCCAGCACAGCCTTTTTCTTGCCCATTCGCATGCAACAAATCAAAATGGTTTCAGCATGTGCACGATGCATAAAATTAGTCGGCACGTTCTCGATGACGGCGTAAACTTTCTCCAAGATGGACAAACACTCCACGTAACGACGTTGGTCGAGCAGCACGACGGCAGCAATGGTATAAATTCCAGAACATGTCATGGCGAAATTCATGTCGGGCGACGCCGCACGCAAAATTTCCACTTTGTCGATTGTTACCATGTCGCGGCCGAGAATCAAGGGATGAAATGGGTACAAGTTTGTGTCGGGGTCGTAGGCCAGACTTTTGACAAGTTGGTCTCTCTTCGCAATCAGAGCAGGACTTTCAGATCGGTCCAGTTCGCAGAGTCGACATTTGCAGATAAAATCTGTAATTAAAAAACGACGTACAAGTTTGAATTCACGAATGTTTGTACGAAAAAGCAAGAGATTCTTTTACAGATAATTTCATGAACGATTTTCATGAACGTGTGCAAAAAATGCAAGAAATAACCCCCAGCTAACTGAAAATCCATATTATCGAGTCATTTAATTTAAGTGTAGTGCAGAAAGTGTAAACCGCTAGGACTTGGAGGCTGAGTGCGCCAATTTCTTTCATTTCTAGCACCTTGCATTTCTTACAGTTTTTTGCAGTGCAAAAAAAATCCAAAAATGTGCAAGAAGCTAAACACTGAAAATCAGTTTTTCAGTACAAAGCCAACCCATTACTCACCATGACTCTTCATGAAATCCCTCCTTTCCAACGGCTGCATTGCGTCCACATAGCTCATCAGAATCTCCTCCCCTTTTTTCACCTTTCTGAAAGTAATGACCATCATGACAAGGCTGGAATCGTGGTGGACGTACATAACGTTGGCGTCAATGCAGTTGTGATTAATTTTCGACGCGGGGATCCAAACCCCACAAGAAATGAACTTCTCGTTTTCCTCCTTGCTACAGCTGCTCCCGGTGAAGTTAAAGCTGCAAATCTGTCTGATTCGAGCAATGTCCACCTTTCTCATTTTAGGGTCCTCATTATCCGTCGAGGTTTTTAGTTCAGGTCCAGCAAAGAGGGCGTAAAGGTCACGGCCAAGTTGGGGATCAAGCCAAATCTTATTCGCCATCACGCCGACAAGGTATTCGTTGGGAGTTGTGCTGTCTAAAAATGTCTTCTTTTCTTCTGGGTTGACATACAGCCCGGCGAATGGTTTGCAGACGAGGAGAACTGTTCCAGGTTCGAGATCTTGAGTGGCAAATAGTCCTTCGCCTTTGCAGATTTTACTCTTCTTGAGTTGAATTGGCCCTCGAAATTCTGCGATGCGATCCACCATCCCGACCGGTAAATCTTTCTGTGGCAAATTGGAATCCTTTTGTCGTGGGTTTAGCAAAGCACAGATGATTTCCTTTCCGGGTGGTTTCAACAGTTCTGGAAGGATGGTTCTGCACATTGTATCGATTAAAATAAAATCGACGTTAGCTTATCAACAGTGAAAAGATATCGTAAATTTATAATCTTGCATTTGGAATTGTAAATACATACCTTAACCGAAGAATATCATCTCCAAGGGATGAGAATTGGGTGAGCTTTTCGTCCAGAAATTCGCCACCTTCAGAGTATCGGCCAAGTCCAATGAGAGCCTTGGCGTGACGATAGATCGCCTTGACGTGCCCGTTATTGATCCCAAGAGCTTTACCCGTACAAATTAGGGCTGAATTAAAGCAATCCAATTTAATCAGAGCGGCTGCCTTGTTGGACAAGATGTCCACCAAGAGTGTCGAAACGGCTGGAGTTATCTGCTCCTCCAAGTCAGATAAGTATTCCAGAGCGACATCGTAGAATCGGATCGCATCGGTTGACCTGTTCTCCACGAAGGCCTTGTTTCCCACGTTTTTGAGCTTGGTGGCAATCTCGAGGTCACTTTGGTCAGGTGAGAACTCCCAGAGAAGAGAATTCAACTGCATTCGAGATTCGTGGGGTAGATCTGACTTCCATTGGACACCTGGCCACAAAAATTATAAATTACACATGAGTCAGACTTATAATATAAATCATATCCACAATTTTACCTGGAAATAGTGATTCGATTCTCCTTGGACTGAGTATTTCTACATCAGCGGGATTATCAACAATCAGTCCATAGCTTGCTGGGCCGTCACAAGGCTTTTTAAACACGGGATTCTTCACGATCAACATTGTCCCCAATGGAAGGACTGCCTCGAAATCGGACTTCCCCATTTTGGCATTCACAGAATAATTAAATAGGCCAAGTCGCATGGCCCTCTTTCCTTCAGGGTCCTCCACACCAGCGTCCACTCCGACCAGCTTGCTGGATGGAGTTATAGTTCGACCAAGTAAAAACTTCCCCTTCAAGATCTTCATTAAAAGTAAAATCATCATTAATTTACGAATTTTAACTCATCTCTAAAATTTCATAAATAAAACTCACCTGTCCCACATTTTTCACCAGTGTTTCGATACTGACACAATTTTCCATTTTCAACTCCACCTCCATGTTCTCGTCGTATGACGAGAGGTTATCTGGATACGCCAAGAGCATAAGATCTGCGTGGTCACGGTGGCGCGCCTGTTCCAAATATTTTTGTGGGTCGATAACCTCCCGATGGATGCGATTCATCACGGAAATTACGTTTCGTCTCGTTGTGTCGTAATTAATTGATTCTTCTTCCGTGGGGCATCGCATAACCTTAACGACTTTGCCCTTCCGTTCCACCCACACGTCGCCTGGCATTCTTTTAGGACCCATGTTCCTATGCGAAGGACAATATTGAATATCCTGGATCTTTTTTTCAGTGGGGGGTTTTGAGTGTTGTTAAAAGGGGGAAATGACAACTGGGGAATATTTATCTTGATGAACGTTGGTTATTTGGTTTACTGCTCAGTCATCTGTACTGAAAATTCCCACGTCCGCGTACTCTCTGTATGCCCCTCATTTGCCAGTTTATAAACAAAAATCTTTGTTCAGTTCAGATTAACAAGTTATGAATGAAATGAAATTTAGTATCGTTAGCTGTTTCATGTTATCATTTTGTCTTATCTTGTAAGTATGCTTTGAATATATGTACTTTAATGAGGTGGCGATTGTTTATCATAGATATGTATGTATACATATAAATATTATTTATGAGACAAGTTTGTTTATTTTATATTTGCACAAAAAAATTCGGGACATCTTTGAACAAAATTAATTTTTCAGCTTAACATTATTTGACTCTAATTTTGATTTTTCATCCTCCTCTAATCCAAATTTCTCCCCACAATTCCCACAAATTACACTCTTATCCCCAAAAATTCCCAAATTCACCCCCAAATTCTTAAACTTTTCGAACTTGGCCATCCACACGCTTCTCCTCCCCTTTTCCAGCACATCGTAATCCACGTTAGGAAAAATGTTGAAAATTCTGTTATAAAAATCGGTCCATTTTCTCCTCCACCCCCAACATTTACAAACCTCTGCTTCGTCATTACACTTGCACCGCCGCCCCATTTTCATCCCTCCCACCCGCACCCCCGTGGGGATGAAAATGTCCAAATTCCTCAAAGACTCACACGGTTGGAGACCCTCGGCCAAAAATGTTTCATACAGGAAAAGCATGGTCGCCTCAAATTGCAAATTTTCATGCGGCCTTTTCACCATATCCAACAAAACGTGGCGAATAATTTGCGGAACCACGCGCACAATTAGCTTCTCCAGAATGGGAAATTGTCTCTCATACGCAATTGTCTCTCATCTTAACCTGATCCGTGCCCGTTTCAAAGTTTAAGCAAATATCTGGTCTAAACCATACGAGATCGTCCTCATTCGTAGAATATCTGAAAATCTCTTGTCTCAAAATTTTGAAAACTTTCAATTTCGGGAGAATCGGAACCGTGATGTACGGCGGGGTGGGTTGAGTTTCCGCTGGGGCAAGGTTTTCTACCTCCGAGATGCACACGTGTTCCAACTGTGGCGCGAGAGACGAAAAAGCTCGACGACGTCATTGTTGTTACGAACATTAAATTCAAACCGGGTCACACTTGCGAAATTTGCTTTCAAAGGCGTACTGAATTTGGAGAATTGCAATGCGTGCCGATCTTGCACGCATTCTAGGCTAGTACTTCTTTTCAGTGAGATTGATTTAAGACGTGGTAATGTGACATGGTTGTCATCAAGCACCAGAGCTGGGATAATCCTAATTAAGGATTATGGATTTTAATCCCGGATTATGGATTATTAATCCATAATCCCTAATCCGGCAATGTGAGTTTTTTGTAGATTAATCCCAATCCATAATCCCGATTTTTCTGGAATTAGAATTAATCCGGGAATAATCCCATTTGATTTCATTAATCCATAATCGTGATTACGGATTACTAATGCTGATTAATCCCAATCATGATTACTAATCATGATTATTAATCCAGATTAATCCAAATCATGATTACTAATCATGATTACGTATTCATGATTAATTCTCAATCTGGATTACTCAGTTCAATTCCCATAGTTCCATTCATCCCACAGTGTAGCTTGAAGTCTCAAGTTCTCACAATGTTGTTCTGTCAGCTACCATTTGAAGAATCAACATGTTCTCGCTGCCCTGTGCTACATACATATATCAATTGAAACTGGCGTCATTTTTATGTGAAACCACGTAGTTGAAATTCTTTGCGCTAGATACAGTGTAAAAATCATTAATCACCAAATTAATCCGGATTATTAATCCATAATCCATAATCCCGAAATTTTCAGAATTTATGGATTAATCCGGATTAATCCTGACATGGATTAATCTCACGGAAATAATTTAATCACAATCCACATTGTTTTGTGGATATATAATCCTTAATCCACCCTCAAAAACCAATAATCACCCAGCTCTGTCAAGCACCCCGCCAGGCAGGTTGAACAGGGTAAGATTGCCCACTTGGCGGAAAATCGTAAGAATTCGGGTTATCAGGGAGATAACGGCGTCCCATCGTGCACCCAAATCTGCGGGGTCTACACTGACTCCATTGAGGACCAAAGCGGTCAATTTTTTACCCGCGTGGGAGGCCATGCTATCGGGAAATAATTCCTTCCAGTCTTCCGCAAAAGATAACTTTTCATTATAATTGGTTAATATGAATTTCAATTCTAATGATCTCAAATTTCTGAGGGATTTTTCCAAAATTTGTATCAAACGAGATGCCACGTGGCGTAAAGAGTTATCGAGGGGAAGATCAAGGTGTAATTTTGTCACGGAGGGAAAATTAATGGAGGAAAATAAATGTATTTTTTGGGATAACATTTCCACATTTCGGACCACGTGAGCCACTGGAGAAAATACCCAGTAGGTAACATCGCAGATCACTATTTTGAGGTGTGGAGGCGATAAGGCCACGAGGGGGACGAGGTCGTTGGAATCGGTGATATTTTGGAGGCGGACCACGACCGGGTTTCGAACGAGGAGGTGCCTCAGAGCTGCTTCCTCCCATGTCGAGTTGACCAGCGAGGTCGATTCCAAGTCGGGAATGGGCAGAACTCCCATGATTTTGGAAATTATCTATACAAAAATTAAATTTAGCGTGTTATGAATTTGTTTAACGATAACAGTTACGAACAAATGGGGTTTTGCATTTTGTACGAGTTGGCGTGTTCGCATCGCAGAAAAGTTTTTGGCAAAAATTGTGCACCAAATAAATACTTGCCTGGGAGATGTGCAAGTTCCCAAAAATGAATTTTCATCAAGCCAACTTTTTTGCGAACGAATTTTTTGATCAACAAGCGAATTTATTTGCCAACTGTTTTTTTGCTAACGATGCAAACCCGTCATGAATACCCCTACTGTTTCAAAATCAGGTGACCACAATTACCTCGGGCAGGTACGAAATTAAGTGGGCAGAATTCTCCATTTTGATGTGCAGCCGAGTTGGAATTACGTTTTCGAGATGCTGAAAAAATAGAGAATTTAATTATGCAAAAGGTGCAAAAATTGGTCAAATATGACTCAATTAAAATTGTTGGAAACGTTGTTTTACATTATTAAGTAAGTTTTAAATATATAAATATGAATTCAAGATGAACTGAAACATATAAAACTTTATGACCTGTTAAAACTACTTAACTGAACATAAGAAATCTAATTCTCAGAAATATGTACATACTGGAAACATGAAGTAAATAAATATGTAAGTAGTCGGAGGCAGTTTTTGCGTTCTCATGAAAACATGACCTTTCTAATTTAAAGTCGTTGAGGGTCATATAAATGTTCAAGTGATTTGGGATATGTATTTTTAGGTATGGGTGAAAATATTTACATGCATTCTATTTTTTCTCACCTTTATATATATATAAAGGTGATGTAAGTGCATACAAATTAAGTTTTTATTGCATTTTTGCACATATCCATGAAATCATTTTACATATATGTATTTCGAAAAAGCTAAACGACCAGCGCCGTACATAAGTGTCCCTATCTGAATATTTAAAAAACTCCTTTAATTGTAGTTGTCCTAAAGGTAAAAAATCTCATCCAACTCTCGTCCGGCTGGAAGAGATCCCAAAATAGCAGCCACATTTCCACGCTGCACTGCAATACTCATCCTCTGGAGGAGAAATGATGTTGCCCTCTTCTCCTCCGTAACGATCGTGATCCTTGATCCGATTTCCTTGATAAGGGACAGGCCCTCTTTGCCCCACACTAGTATCGTTTCAATGGCTACAGGGACAAAGAGGAATCTGTCCTGAAGGAATTCATATTTCTTAATCTTGGCGTCCTCCGCTCTTTCGGCTGCCGCACCAGGATGAACGCAGGTTTGAGGGAGGTAAGATGGTGCGAAGGTGTCCGAACATGTAAAGTCCCAAACCAAGGGCCTCCCTCTCGCCCATGGGACTAACGTTAGGCCGTCCGGCCTCTTCCCGTCTTGTCGAGAACAACCTGGTGGCCTCTTTGATAGCTGGGGCTCCAGCAGATCGGAGCGCTCTCCAAATAACGTCATTTGCCGCGGTGTGTCGCGAATAACGACCTGCGCTCCTCTTACACTTTAGGCCATGATAGCCTTTTGTTGTGACCTCCGCTCCACATGGGCATTTATGAGAGTGGCACACGTCGAATCCAAGGCGAAGCGCGCAAGCGACTCGGAACGTCTCGTTGGGGAGTAGCGTCCCAAGTTGTGGCGAAGGGACGGCATTTAGCCACGCCCCCACATGCGGCTGTCCCATAGCAAGGAGTCGGGCTTTATCCTCCGGTGTAGGTGCACTATTCTTGAGGTGCTTGATGGCGGCCTCCTGTTGAGGCTTCTCCCATGCGGCCTGAATACCCCTAACTTCGAGCGGGGGGAGTTCCGCCGGTCCCATGGGGTTCCACCTCTCTTCTCCTTCCTGCTGTGCGGTGTCGGTGCCATGTAGGTATGGCGGAAGTAGGCGCTCAACGAGGGGCAGGGCGCTGTAGGCGGACGCTAGGAAACACGGAATCGCCACGTCAACAGCACGCCTGACCCCCAGGCCACCTTCACTGACCGGAAGGGAGGACTGAAGCCAAGATTGCGGGGAAAGGAAACAGTTGAGAATCCCCTCCATGGACTCCTTAAGTTTGGCGTCGTAGAGGGTGAGGGAGTCAAATCTCCGCCAAGTTGGGGCACACCGCAAAAAGTAAATGAGACGCGGTGTAGAGACCGAAGCTCGAAGAAGGAAAAAGGCGGAGTGGGAGGAGAGGTGAAGAAGTCGGGCCCCAAGTGTAGCTAATTGTTCGGCCTTCGCCCCCAGTACAGCCTCGATCGACTCGTCGGTGAGAGGAGCAGGAGTACGGCGGCTTCGGGGGAAATCTCCTGTATTCCCGGTGCTGCCCGACGAAAACGCTCCAAAATTCCAAGGCGGTTTCAAGGCAGTGCATAGTGGGGTCATAAGTTCTCGTGAATGCATTTCCGGTAATAAATCCCAAAGTATTAGAGCTATCTGTTCGAAATTTTTATGGATTAAGAAGGTATTAATATTGTTTAGAAATCATAACTTCTTTGTCAAGATTTCGTCCACGGGCAATTAGACAAGACATAACTCGTGACGGCCACAGGTCGATCGTGGTACGCGCCAATTTTCGTGCCAAAAGTATTTCAGACTTTTCACCGTTGGCAAAAAATTTAATAGAAAAAAAGGCCAGATATTTGTTGTACAGAAGTCTGACATCCGTTTAAGTATGCGGAAGTCAATACGAAGTCATCACCGTGGTGTGAATGGGAGCAAGTTGGCTGGAGAAATGAAATCTCTGTTTTTTACCGCAAAGGGTACAAGTTGAAGCCAAGAATTATTTTCAGAGTGTCCTAGAGACAAACGTTAATAACCTGAACCCTGGACCCTCCGAAAATCTCCATTGGACCTTTCAACAAGAATCTGCTCATGCGCAAGGTGCAAAATTGTCCAAAACTGGCTTCAGACGAATTTTCATGACTTTTTTTCATCCGTAGAACGGTGCTCAGTATCTGCAGACCTTAATCCCCTAAATTATGACTGGTGGTGAAAATTATAGGTACAAGTATGCTCTAAATTTCACCCAAGTGTGGAAGGGCTGAGGTCGCACTTACTGAAGATCTGGCGCTTTTCCCTGGAAATCCGTGCGTGCCGCGATCGAGCAGTTTTCGCCACGACTTATGTCTTGTGTACAAGCCCATGGAGGAAATTGTGAAAACGAAGTTATGATTTCTAAACAAGATTAATACCTTGTTCATCCACAAAAATTTCTATCAGATAGCTCTAATACTTTGGGCTTTATCACCGGAAATGCATTCACGGGAACTTATGGTCGGACTATGTACATACATATGTATACATATGTATGTACTTACATCATGTGTACATAAATACATAAGTGTGTGACTCATATACAAACCCTGTACTATAAACTTTGTAGTACAAAGTAGAATTGAATTTGGACAAAAGTGTCTTTATATTTAAACCTCTTCGAATTGACCATACTTTGCATTAAGTACCATAATACTCAGAAGCTGACCCTGCTGTTTGGTTCTTAATCCCGAGAAAAAATGTATGGACGTCTTTTATAAACAAAACAAAAATCTTCAAGTTTTTCCCCGAATGTGATGACTGGACCCACCTTAACACCGGATTTTTAAGAATATGCCTATTTTGTATAAAGCTGAAGTGGTAATTACTTATTAGCATTGACTACACTATCTGTATTCTTTTGTATGGTTAAAGTGAATAATTGTGTTTATTCGCTGGATCATTACATATTCTGTAGGTACGCACACATGTCACATGTACACAAAACTGTGAGCTAGGGTTGCCGCGGGTAGCGAAAATGCTACCCGTTACCCGACTCGCTACCCGCAGCACAACTACCCATACCCGCACGGGTACCCGTGCGGGTACCCGTTACCCGCTACCCGTTATGAGAATTATGTCAAAAACTAATCAACCTTAAAATCAATTTGATTTAGTCATTTGATTTAATTATTTGCTCATTTGGGTGGATAAGTAGTTTGATATAATTCTATGCAAGTAACGCATGCCATAATTTTCTATGCTGTTGTCATTAGTTGGTTTTGAAACCAAGGGTTTTGGCTTGCAATAAAACCTTTTCAAGCTACACCGGGATTTCTTCGAGTTATATAAAAAATCAAGCCAAAAAATTAGGGAACAAGTAATACTTATCTTTCAGTTGAAGTCATTCAACTGAAAGACCACCCTTCGAAGAAAACTATTGGGGGCAGAGTTCTAAGTCCACCATGGTTTTCGTCCAGTGGAGGAAAAAGATGGAGGATATTTACGTTAAATTGAACTCTGCCGCGAATATTTTCTTGAAAGCTGCCAGCCAACTGAGAGATCATTAACACGTGATCCATAATTCTTGGCTTGACTTTTTGATATAACTCGCTAGACAATCTTGGTGTAAGGGTTCCATTATTAGTTTAATTTTTGAAATTTTGATTTAAATAAAGTTCGCGTTTAAAAAGTCGTTTACAAATACAATTTTTGCCTTCAATAGGATTGAGGGTTTTCACCCGCACAAATTAAAATATCGTCAGTCTTACATAAACATACACAAATACAAGTCAAATTAGATAGTATTAAAATTTTAGAACAGACTAGTTATTCTTAGAAGAAATAATTTAGCCGCATTTCCGTACTTATCTCATGACGGAACCTTTCTTCATGCTACTGGGATTTTCCAACGAGTTGTATAAAAAATTAGTCGAAAATTAAGAATCACTTAGCACTTATCTTTCCAATAAATGGCATTTCGAAGAAAAATGTTGGCTGCAATGTTCAATTTTTCGTAGTAAATTTCCTCTCATTGTTTTCCTCTTTGGAACGAAAACGGTTTTCGGAAAACCTATGAATTTTTCCCCAAAAATTTTTCTCCGAAGTGACTACATACATATTTAACAGGAAGATATTTAAGTGCCATGTGATTCATAAATTAAGGCTCGACTTATTGACATAACTCCCTAGACAATTCGGGTGTCGCGGTTTGTTCGAGAAAAGTATATTTATTCTGTGACCGTCACAGACCTCTCAGACTTCTGAAAGCAGACGCTCGCAAACCCTTGTTGCTGGAAAATGGCAAATTTTAAAGTGCATAAATAATACCCGCAGATAACGAGTACCCGCAAAAATCGTGCGGGTATGCGGGTAACGGGTACCCGACCCGTTACCCGCGGCAACCCTACTGTGAGCTATGTCATTTTTTATTATTATTTAGCATCGTTTAAGGTTAACAAAGATAAGTTTACAATGCGGAGGTGTCAGAGGCTGGAGTAGGATTTTGATCAGACAAATTTTAATTTTATCTGTTTCAAAAAAAATGTAAGCAGTCCCATATTTTTGCATTTTTCTTAATGTGCCAGTTTGACCTGAATTTTCAAAATTACTTACAGCCAAAACAGTACGTTTCAAAACGCTGTGACATTTATGCAAGTACACGTGTTAAAAATGCTCTCAATTGGTGGAACAAAATTTATCTATCAAGCACTTATCATCTTACAACAGACTGTTTATTAGTTAAAATAAATAATTAGTTAACCATTAAATTAGGCAGTATTTGTAAAATTTTGAATACCCGTTTAACAGGATGTACTCCCAACAACATACTTGCTTAAATACATACTTCTTTCCCATAACAGCACAATTTGTTAAACATTCTATAGAAATAAATAAGTATGCCAAGTTATTAAATAAATTTGAAACTAAAATTGCATGGGTTTATACAAAACGAAGTGTTGCGGAATGTCGCAAATTTAATAAAAATTGGAAAATTATTTATATCTCTATTATGTGCATACAGATAAATAGTATTTATCTGTATTTATTAAATTCATATGTATTTACATATGATCTCGACAATGTGCGACCAATTCGTATTAAGTAAAGAATTTCTTCCCACAGAAGTAAAATCCTCGCTGCATTCTGCGACTGGGTAAATTGCATTTCGAACGGCTCTTCTACTTTTCGCAGGAATGGACCAGCTCCTTATTCGTGGCATGCCTGGCCTCCACGTGACGCTTCAAATTTGAAGAGTCAGAGAATCTCTTGTCACAAAATATGCACGGATAATTCCTGTGATTTTCATGCACAGCTCGGATGTGGTACTGTAAACCACGCCTCGTTAAGAAGGTCTGCGGACAGACATCACACTGTACCACGTCCCGGGCAGATTTTTCCAAATGTGTCACCTGTAAAGTGAATATGAACTAGGGGCATTTTATTGATTCGTGTTTCTCCAAAAACATGCTTTACCTGGTGAAGTATCATATTTTCCTTGCGAGGGAAACTCTCCACAAGTGGCACATTTGTACTCCTTTTTCTTGGTCCTGCTGTGGGTGGGAATGTGAGCTTCAAGTTGAACCCTAGTTTTGAATTCCTTTCCGCAAAATGTGCACGGAAATCGGACCGGATTTTTGGCATGTCCGGTTTTCACGTGTTCCAAAAGATCGTCCTCGTGTAGGTAGGTTTCTTCACAGCCGCGAAACTTACATGGGAAAGGGGGTCCTTCCTCAGTGATGTGGGTGGTGTCGATATGTCGCTGTAAAATGGCAGGGGTAGCAAACACCCGGTGACAAGTGTCGCACCGTGGTATTTTCCGATTGGTGTGAATATACCACTTGTGGGAGGATAAGACACGTCTGTTTTTGAACGTTTTGCTGCAATCCTACATATATGTGGGTACAAAAATGAGGACGTATTGTAAAATTGGTTTGACTTGTGGAAATTTACATCCTCACCTCACACGTAACCTTGGCATCGGGATCGTGCGTGACCATGTGTCGAGTCAGATACTTGTTGGATTTAAACTGTTTTGAGCACTGTGCACATTCCCATTTCTTTCCTGTCGTCAGATCCATGTGGATTCGGTGTTTGCTGAAGTTTTGGACTTATATTCGCAATCAAAAAATTGAGGTGATTCATCAAATTCTATTTGTTATCTGTAATAAAAATGTTTGTTATGTTCGCAAAAAATAAAACAAGTTTGTGCCAATAATTCATATGTACATTTTAAAAGCATAAGCCCACATTAAACACACTTCCAGTAATTCTTACCGATAGTCATGAGGGTATTCATTATTTTTTCTTTTTTTTCGATTCAAATAAATTTTAGGGAATTTCAACCCTAATTATTTTTTCTTAGCATCGCAAAATAGTTGATGAAGAAAAAGAAATTTACAAGCTTTGTAAATTCCTGAGCGTACATAGTAACGTGGTTTTCGATGACAAAATCTTACAACGCTTACAAAATCTCGTAATTGGCGTAACTTATTTTGCGATATGAGGAATACCAAGGATACGAAGAAATGTTGAATACCCTCAAAACTTATTAAAACAACAGGAAACAAATTTTGTGCTATTAAAAAAAATGAAATTTGGTCCGCTTCATTCGAGGTGAAGTTTCGTTTCTTACCGTGTGTTGAATAGGATCATTTAATTATTAGTTACGTATTCATGTGCTGCTTCGGAGTAAGTGGACATGTATCTAAAACTAAATTGTTGGTTCACGTAGCTTGGAAAAGGTGGCTTTTTTACGCAAAGAAAAATAGAAAGTGCCAAAATTCCTGGAATTTGTGAATGTATTTTGTAAACAAAATAAATCTAAATTTTTTCACTGAATGGGAAGGCTGGACCCTATTTAGATTTAATCTGTATTTTTCTTTACTTGGTTAACAACCGATTCCCGGAAAATTGGGGCACATACCTTTTATGAACATTTGAAGTGAGTCTTACAATACATGCGGTATGCAGAAAGGGCAATTTTTAACATTAATTTCACCAGAGCAAATCAATGACAAGAGTGCATTAAGAAGTAGACCAATGTACTTACGTATATACTTAATTTAATTTAATTTAAACTGCCGTAATCCTGGTCATCGCCGTGGGTGTGCCAGTGGAGGGGCGGAAGTGGGAGGACGGCGCCTGGGTGTACGACGACAACGCCGAGTGCAGCAACTCCAAGGACCTGGGCACCACGAACTGCTACCCCGCCTGGAAGGACACCGCCGCCGCCTGCACCGAGACCTTCCACGCCCAGTCCCAGTTCCAAGGCTACATCAAACGAGACGGCTTCAGCAAACGCTTCTGCTGCAGCACGGGGTCTTTCTAAATTACTTGAGTGCCATATTTTCGCTATATTTAACAAATTTTGACCCAAAGTAACAATACTTTATTGTGAAACTTATTTATAACATTAAACTTATTTGTGCTCGTTATTTTATCTTAGTAATGATTTCAGTAACAAAATTTTTATTAATAATTTTGTCAAAATTGTATTTCTTCCCATAAGACGAAATAACTATTAATTTTCGCTTAAGAGTTAACTATATTTTATGTTAAACCAATCCTCATAAATCACATAGTGGCGAAACTGATGAACTCGGTGGGGTAAAAAGTTCGCAAGTTTCGGTGGGAATTTTAAATTTTTTGCAAAAAACTGCAAAACTCATCTGGAGTTGTTTATGTTTTTAGTGGTTTCCAGTGGGAAGAGTATGTGTACTGGGAACTTGCCACCACACATACTCTACGACGAGATGAGACGAATCAGGAAAAGTGGCATAGTTCTAACCTTATCCGTTGCTACTACGAGCTTGAACGTGCACTTATAAATGTGGAATTTTTTGAATTACAATTAGTATTAGTTGTGTAATAAATGACTATCGGGCTTTAAGGAATAAATATAATAGTTTAATTTATATTAATTAATTTACATCATACTTTTTTCGTTTGAAGATTCTTTGATTAATACTAAAAAAACTATTACATTTATTCCTTAAAGCCCGATAGTCATTTGTTGCACAACTAATATTAATTGTAATTCAAACAATTCCACATTTATAAGTGCACGTTCAAGCTCGTAATAGCGACAAGGTCAAAATTCTATAATGCATGGGGAAGATACGGGGGAAGATATTGAGCGAGAGACTTTATTGGCTGATAGAGCGGGCAGAGCACGCTATAACGCCTCGTTAAATGATTATATTACTGACTAGCGTATAAGCCCGTCTCCCGCCGGGCGAGCGAGAATTATCAGATGCAAAAGTATGTCGGAAGCCGAAGTGAAAGCAAAGAAAGTCAAGTTTAGACTGGCGCGTATTAAATGTCTAATGGTAGTTATCTTGGGCTGGTTGTAGCCTTGACTTCGATTTCACTTTAACTTTACTTTAAACTAAAGTGGCGGATCCTGGATACCCATGACAGACTTCCAATTCTATTTAACTTCAAACTAAAGTGGCCATGATAATCACCCCCAGATAACCACCCATGACAGCCACCCCCAGATAACCACCCACGATAACCCCCCCCCCCCCCCCAGATAACCACCCATGACAACCCCCCATGATAACCACCCACGTAAACTACCCCCATGATAACCACCCCCAGATAACCCCCCACGATAACTACCCCTAGATAACCACCCATGACAACCACCCCCAGATAACCCCCCACGATAACTACTCCCAAATAACCCCCCGTGACAACCCCCATGATAACCACCCCCAGATAACCCCCCATGACAACCCCCCCAGTTACTTGTGAAATAATAATGCGGGTAATAATTATTTCATATTTATGAAATAAATACTGATATTCATTAACTGTGACTGACGTACATGGATTGTTGGGAGGCACTCCAATGAACTCAGGTTAATGATATTAAAGGAACCTATATACCGTAAATACTCTATTTATAGCCGGGGCTAAAATCCATAACTGGGGGTCACGGACCCGGCTACAATTAGAGACCCGCTATAATTAGAGACCCGGCTAAATTTTATTCCGCCCAAAATTTTAGACATTTTTAGATGTTACAAGATTATGCTGACTCAATTTGAGTTTTCTTATTCAGCAAGATATACCATCAGTAACCCATTCACCTAAAGCTACATCTTTAAACGAGGTTTAGCAGTTTTTTAATTTTCTGTTATGAGTATACCCATTATTAACTTGAAATTAATAGATAAAAATTAGTAGTTCAACTTATTCGTTGATTAGCATAATGTTCAACATTTTTCTTGAATGGGCTTTGAACGGGGACACAGCGGACAAGACAGGCCAAAATTAGAGACCCGGCTATAATTGGGGACCTGGCTATAATTAGAGACCCGGCTAAAATTTTGAAAGCTTGGTCTCTAGACCCGGCTATAATTAGAATAGGGCTATAAATAGAGGTTTTACGGTATGTATGTCAACTGAATAATTTGTTTATGTATTTCCGAATAAATTATGGAGTGGTTTACTTGAATGAGAATCCGGGAAAAAATTGTTTCCTCATGTATTTATATATGCAATCTACGCCTCGGATCGACATCGATTTGCTGCCAAATGTTGACAGTGATTAAGCGGGTAGATGTTACTCATTACTTTTTCAAACAATGTACATGTGCACCATATCGGGGGCTGAAATTCTTGAGCAAAAATACGTATATGTACATAAGTGCTACAATGTATGTTAGCCTGCATAATATAGCTATCTGCGAATTTGCATGTATCGGCTTAAAAAACAATTTTGCTAAACTTGTGAATTTTCGATTCTCGAAACTTTGTTTTCTTACATGATATTTCCAACCATATATTTCCCAGATCGGAATTTCAAATTCCTTATCTGGGTTTCAAATTTTCAAAGTTCCATGTTAAAAAACAATGCATATGTATGCTGCACGAACTGCATTGTGAGGTCCGATTTGAGTTTGATTTGAAGTCCTACATTTTTATTTTGAATTTCTAATAATTTCTGTGATTTACATATCTCGTCATGATACACGTATGGGACCATCCATAAATTGTCACGCGAGAGGGGGGCTTAAGGCTGTAATGAAATCGCGCCTATGCGACACATGTGGTTGCTGGGAGGATGGGGGTCTAGAAATTCGTGATTTTTGAATGACATAATTTATGGATGTCCCCTTCGACATCCATAAATCGAATCCCTTCCGCCCTATAATGACCGTCATTTCTATCGTAGGAAAGTTTAAAATTATGTATTCCCCATCTCACACGCCACAGTCGTAGCTACGTTGCCGACTAAATCCGGGCAAAAATCTGAGTTGACTTCACCTTAATATTTGCATCGTACATAGGCTTTTTTCATGCAAAGCTTATGGTGAGCATGTACACATATGTACACATTTATTATGAATGTGTTTGATACTATACAACATTTTACAGAGATTTATTAATTATACTGTAGGAAAGCTATTGATATTAACATATTAAAAGATTTATTATTAATTTTATAAAAGAACAAGATTTTACAAATGAAAAAGGCTTTACTGAACCTGGAATCAACATTAAGTTGTAAGTAGTAAGGTGCAAATTGTATAGTCATGTGAACATTACTTAAGATTAATATTAACTGTATTTATATAAGGAATGAAAGTTTTGAAATTGATTATTTTGTACTCTGTATTACTAACTAGTTACAGTCGGCTTGATCTGAATAATAATTATGTCTTCCCATAATGGGTTAAGAACGTTTTAGAATTATGGTAAGGTACTTTGTAATCTCCTCCATTATCACAACGGTCTCGAGTTGTTCGTCCATTTGTCGATCTGGATCATATGCGCGAAGCCACGCCATCAGTACTCGATGGGACAGTCCATCGGTCGCCAAATTCTGTTGCTTTCTTGAGGGAGGGTGATGCCTCAGAACAAATCGGAGAAATCCAGAACTATCTCGCCGGTTAAAAACATTCTCCAACGCTCTTAATTGCACCATAATGGTTTTCACTTCCTCCTTTTTGGGTGGAGGTGGTGGAGGAGCATGGGCAACCTTGTCTGAAAGGAACAGTTATCAACATATAAAAAGTTGTGCTGAGATAACTTCCTGAATGAGATCGTAAGAATAATAAATTAAACTTACATCGTTTTTGAGCATCCCGCAGTATTTTAGGGACGCTGACATAGGGTCCTGTCTGCCCTTTAGGAATATCCCCTCCATTGAGGACCCCGTGGCGGTCGGTAATCCCTTGAGCGATCATTTCCTCTACCTGTGACAATGCAACAATTTGTAAATTAATTGGACATATTAACTTAAACCAATAACTATGCCATCATGGCGCACATCATAAAATAAGCAAAGAATATAATAGGAGTGAATTTATGCAAGACACATAACATAATATGTAATATAACTCTGACTGGGTTTAAGACAAATTTTCTACTTACGATAAAACGTAGTTCCTCAATCACACCTCCTGTCCGACCATGATGGTCCGCCAAGAATAGTTGTCGGAAGAGGATATCAGCCGGTACTTTTTTATGCTTGAAATTTCGTTTAAGCTCTGCATAAAAGTGGAATTCTCTCTCTTCTGGGGTCCTAGGCATGGTGTGACCTACATATATAATTTTTACCAAATAAATATATTTTTTTCAATCTCCTTTCCATCGTCTTAAAAGGCATATAAACCCTGATTTGGCCAATAAATATCTAGACGACTTTAAATTATTTCGACGTTAATAAACTTATCTCAGGTTACTTAATGGAACAAAAATTTATTTTGGAAAGATTTAAAATGATGATGTCTCTCTGTTGGTTTATTAAATGACGTCAGCATTTGTGACTCCCGGATCGTGTACTCTGGCACTTTACCACTGCACTGCGTATCCTATGGGGCAATGCAGGATTATTGGGTAGCTAAATTAAGGGGGAATACGTACGATCTTGGCAATGCCAGATCTTGATGCCCTTTTGCATGCACGTTACTGGTATGTATGTGATTAGCACATGAAAAGTAGGTTTTAGCACAATGTGTTAAAAGCTACTTTTTCATCAACATTTTGGCGAAAAAGTGAGATAATTTAATTTTTCCTACGATTTTAAAAACTGGGACACTTTATCAAAACCGGGACACTTAATCAAAACCGAGACAGTTTCGGGACGTCGGGACAGGTTTTGAAAACCGGGACGTATGGTCACCCTACTCAAATTCGACCACGCTACAGAAATAATTTACAAGTCAATCTACAACTAAAAACACTCTCCAATACTCCGATAAATATATACGTGTGGCTTGATTTTTTAAAGAAGAATTTTTTTACATGCAAACGTTGTGTCGAGCATGTACACCCTGTAATTAATATGAAAGTGGCTGATACAAAAGGCGTTAGGACATGGTTTTGACGAATTCGCGGTTGAATATCTCTGGCGGGGAGTTGAATTTTGAACTGATTTTTGGTCAGTTGCAAGATAATACTCTCAAAAAGATATATTTAAAATTTTGGGCCGATAGCTTTATAAATGTCCCCTCCAGTGCCCCCAGAGTTTGAAGGAGCCAAAAAACACTTTCCAAACTGAATTACTCATATAGCATGATAACCTAAGAGGTCAGAGGTGAATGCTTGTTAATATTACAACCCTAGATAATCATTGCATGTAATAATAAAAGAATCCACAATGAATTACATAACGTTGGGCCTCCATCGTCGCTGATACGTTTTCATGAAAAGTGATCAATCGGACCGTGCACAGGAAAATTGACCTGCTGACCTTTAAAGCGGACCCACTCGGTCAAATGAAGATTGAGGGCAAAGCTCTAAGTGTCTCAAGTAATATTAAATTAAACAGTGAAGATTTTGTGCAAACAGTTTTGGAGAAGGACCCTAGCTAATCAGCTGACGGGGAATAGTAAAAAACTCGTGAACTAATTTAGGAAAATAATGGTCAAATTTTGTTGAAAACAAATTTTAATAACTTTTTTGTGTTCCCTGCTGCAGAACTATTTTACCTACAAGGTACAAGTGACAAAATAATAAAATTACTGCGTTTTGATTAGTTAAAAAAATTTAAAGTTCCGCTTCAATTTCGAGGAGAACTTTTGTAAAAATTTTATAGGGTTTGATGGAAACTCATTTCCTGGGGTTTAACCACTTATCAAAATTTTATCAAAAGTACTTACAATGCAACATACAATTTCTACCTTGGATAAAAACCACGTTAGGGATTTTTAGCATCAAAGTCCTAAAATGTGGGGGCCTTTAAAGTCGAGGAGTTGCGTTCAAGAGAGCATTCCATTAAGACAAGTATGAAGCTAGACTACAAAAGGGACTTAAAAGATAAGCATGATACAAAAGTGGTTTTATATAGTGAAAAGCATGCTAAGTCCCTTGATAATAGTTGCAAAGACGATTTTTGCACCAGGACCTCAGAAAAAAATATTTTGTTCAACGCCATTTTATAAGAACACTGGTTTGGAAAACTAAAAAAGGACACCTCTCCAAATTTGACCTTGCCTCATTTCGCAGAGTACACAAAATCGGAAGACAGATATGCTTACCTATACTTTGAGACATGGGCTTTCACATAAAAAATGTTAGAAATCTCTACAACTAAAAACCATCCCGCAATTAAGGTATGAATTCGTCAAAACCATGTCCTAACGCCTTTTGTACTCACATACTGCACAACACTTTATATAGATTTTTTTAAATGGAGGAAATATGCTGATATTATTAAGGATTAATAATATTTAGGAAGATTTATTACTAATTTTATGAAACAACAAGATTATTACTGCGTAGGGTTAACACGTACATATACGTAAATGTATACCTGTTCACATAATCATTTCGCACAACAATACATACATTACGAAATGCATGTCCAGCTATACATATGTATGTACCTACTAGATAAATTTAAATCTTACGTTTCCTATTAAACAATTTTATCAAATGTCACAAATTTTGTGGAAATGTGGAAATGTGGAAATGTGGGGGTGGGGTGGATGGGGGTGAGGGTGGGGGTGGATTTATAAATGCCGCATTTGTCGCAGGAATGGGTCAGTTCTTTATTCACGACATGTTTCGCCTCAACGTGACGCTTCAAAGTTGAAGCGTTGGAGAATCTGTTATCACAAAATGCGCACCGATAATTCCTCTGATTTTCATGCTCAGCTCGGATGTGATATTGCATACCAAGGCTATTTAAGAAGGTCTGAGGACAGACGTAACACTGCAATATATATGTCCCGTGTCGACGTTCCATAGTGTGTCATCTGTAAATCAACATGAATGAAATCATATTTTGTGGTTGATTTAGCTCCAACCAAATATTTACTTCCTGACGTTTCATGTCAGCCGTGTGGGAGAAACTCTTCCAACAAGTGACACACTTAAATGGCTTCTTGGTCGTGTGGGTGGGAATGTGGCTCTCAAGTTCGCACCTCCTTTTGAATTTGTTTCCGCAAAGTGTGCACCATAATCGGACAGGATTCTCCAAATGCTGAATTTTTCGGTGTCTTTTACAAAAGGCGTTAGGACATGGTTTTGACGAATTCATACCTTAATTGCGGGATGGTTTTTAGTTGTAGAGATTTCTAACATTTTTTATGTGAAAGCCCATGTCTCAAAGTATAGGTAAGCATATCTGTCTTCCGATTTTGTGTACTCTGCGAAATGAGGCAAGGTCAAATTTGGAGAGGTGTCCTTTTTTAGTTTTCCAAACCAGTGTTCTTATAAAATGGCGTTGAACAAAATATTTTTTTCTGAGGTCCTGGTGCAAAAATCGTCTTTGCAACTATTATCAAGGGACTTAGCATGCTTTTCACTATATAAAACCACTTTTGTATCATGCTTATCTTTTAAGTCCCTTTTGTAGTCTAGCTTCATACTTGTCTTAATGGAATGCTCTCTTGAACGCAACTCCTCGACTTTAAAGGCCCCCACATTTTAGGACTTTGATGCTAAAAATCCCTAACGTGGTTTTTATCCAAGGTAGAAATTGTATGTTGCATTGTAAGTACTTTTGATAAAATTTTGATAAGTGGTTAAACCCCAGGAAATGAGTTTCCATCAAACCCTATAAAATTTTTACAAAAGTTCTCCTCGAAATTGAAGCGGAACTTTAAATTTTTTTAACTAATCAAAACGCAGTAATTTTATTATTTTGTCACTTGTACCTTGTAGGTAAAATAGTTCTGCAGCAGGGAACACAAAAAAGTTATTAAAATTTGTTTTCAACAAAATTTGACCATTATTTTCCTAAATTAGTTCACGAGTTTTTTACTATTCCCCGTCAGCTGATTAGCTAGGGTCCTTCTCCAAAACTGTTTGCACAAAATCTTCACTGTTTAATTTAATATTACTTGAGACACTTAGAGCTTTGCCCTCAATCTTCATTTGACCGAGTGGGTCCGCTTTAAAGGTCAGCAGGTCAATTTTCCTGTGCACGGTCCGATTGATCACTTTTCATGAAAACGTATCAGCGACGATGGAGGCCCAACGTTATGTAATTCATTGTGGATTCTTTTATTATTACATGCAATGATTATCTAGGGTTGTAATATTAACAAGCATTCACCTCTGACCTCTTAGGTTATCATGCTATATGAGTAATTCAGTTTGGAAAGTGTTTTTTGGCTCCTTCAAACTCTGGGGGCACTGGAGGGGACATTTATAAAGCTATCGGCCCAAAATTTTAAATATATCTTTTTGAGAGTATTATCTTGCAACTGACCAAAAATCAGTTCAAAATTCAACTCCCCGCCAGAGATATTCAACCGCGAATTCGTCAAAACCATGTCCTAACGCCTTTTGTAAGTTGAAAGTTGTAAGTTAAAACTTTTAACTTCGTAGTTACTCAGGTAGGGTAGTGCAGATGATTGGGTTGCACGCAAGATTAGCGACTTGCTATTGACACAAGGACATTTCCTCCAGTTCGCCCTTAATTTCCCTTAATGAGACAGAAATAGAGCGGAAATTTGGTTATGTAGGACTGAATATGGGGCCCTTTATATATGTAAGTCGGCCAGTCAGTTTTTTTATCTCCATATCTCCATATTTACAACTTCGTATTTATTTTGCATATCAATCAAATAACATGTCCAGTTACTTAATAAATATGTACATACATAGGTGCATAAATGTGTTAAAATAAGACTCTTTTTCATTCTACCACAAAATTTTGCTATATTTCGCAAATTTAGTGAAAATTCGCAAACTATTGGTTTGCTCATTGCATAAAGTATGTCTTCTTTTCCAGAGTATGAACTCTACAATGGCTAACCAATTCGGCAAATATGACGAATTTCTTGTCACAGAAGTAACATCCATGTTTCGCTGGGTTGTGACGCTTTCTGTGACCGGTCAAATTAGCTTTCGAGTAGCTCTTGTACTCACATCTGTCGCAGGAATGGACCAGCTCTTTGTTCACGGGGTGTCTCGCCTCCACGCGACGCTTCAATTCTGATGGCTTGGAGAATTTCTTGTCGCAAAAATCGCACGGATTGTTCCTCCGATTTTCATGTGTAACTCTGATGTGGTGTTGTAGAGCACTTCTGTTTAAGAAAATCTGAGGACACACGAGACACTTTAATATGTCCCGGGCAGATCTTTCTAAATGCGTCTTCTGCGAATCGGATACCCATAATGGTAATTTGTTGGTTTTCAAGCTAACAATGCACATGTCAGACATATTCCTCACGGATCCTCGTCAAACTAACACTAAATTATCAAGGAACTAAACACAAACAACAATTGGTGTGGTACTTGAGCACTTCTACAGAATTCGAGAAGATATGAAGGTTTTAAGTTGGCAAAAACGCGCATTTTCACCATGCGAAACTGTACGGAGTTCACCTCTCCACTTTCCAATCTTCTCCAGGTCATCGGTTTTCACCTTCCATACAAAATTGAACTTATTTACTTCCGAACCAAATTCTCATCAGATTTTTCATCTTTGCCTTTTAAACAATTTTTTGAAGTTTTTTACTATTTATTTAAAATGGATTCAATCAACTCCTTAGAGGTGGAATTTTTTTTAAATTAGATCACAATAATAGGATGCGATTACAAAAGAAAGAAACTTTTGGAAAATGTATTTATTCATATGGAAGAAAAATTGCCACTGAATTGAAACGCCGTAGTTTTGTAGTCCATGCGATTAGCTACTCAAATCAGAAAACCGGAAGTCGATATCTCGACTAGTTCCAAAATGAGATCAAAAAATCGGGAACAACTCGAAAAAAAGATTTGCCACTACTACGAAAACGTCTGCGAGCGCGTCCGGATAATGGTTAATAGCCACTTCGAAAGAGAAAAAATTCATAATGGGGCAATTTCCAAAGTTTTAGATATGTATGAGGGGAGGAGGAATGCTGAATTCAAAAAATAAAAAAATCGTCCAGCTCGTGTAGCGACCCCCAAAGTGATACGTAGACTTCAGAAAGAAAACAAAAATAACCTTGGGATATCAGATAGTAATTTGAGCTACAAATTGAAAATAGCAAAATTAAGTTTGCATGTCATTAAACCTACGAAGTTGGGGGTCAAATCCTATAGGGCGACACCTGCACCAAAGTACAACCAAGGTCAGCAAAAAAGAGCAAATCCAAACTCTCGGCAGATTGCTGAAAAACGAGTCAAGCAAAACATGCTCGTGATTCTGGTCATGGATGATGAGACCAAGTGCTCGATTGATCAAGATGAAGTCCCTGCGAGGAAGTACTACTCATGTACTAATAAGAAAACATGTAAAGATTCCTTCAAATACACGCCGAAGTCAAAATTCCCCACAAAGCACATAATCAGGCAAGGATTGGACTCATTGGGGGACGTCTCAAAGCCGTTCGTGACCACAGCCACCATGACCTCGGAGAGATATCTGAACGATTGTGTAAAGAAGATCTTGATCCCCTTTATCAATAATCGTAATGTACTTTTCTGACCGGACACAGCAACATGGCATTCTTCAAAAGTTGTTCTGGACTACCTACGGTCGAAAAAAATCGATTTTTTTGCAAAAAAGGAATATGCTCCCTACATCGCTCGGGCACGACCAATTGAACGATTTTTGGCATTATGCAAGAGACAATATAGTCGTCGAACAAAACCAGCCAAAAACTTGGTAAGATTCCGTCACATTTGGGCACACACCTCAAAAGTGGTAGCTAGAAAGAGTGGCAAAGCACTTCTGGGGACCGCGAGGCAAATAATTCGCCAGATAGGAAGGATGGGGGTCTATGGCCCGTATCAAGCAAAAAATTGAATAGTAGAGACCTTGTTTATAACCCCTGAAAATTTCTTTGGAATTAATTAAGTTTTTCGGATTTTACTGGCATTTTTTCAAAAGTTTCTTTCTTTTGGAATCGCATCCTAGTTAATCCGATTTTTTATTTTATTTCTTTCACATTGAGTGTTTTTATTCGTATACCTTCTAAAACGTATAAAGCCAAATATAATAAGGTTCGTAATCATATGTGCGATAGGGCCAAGCATTACAAAAATTCATATGGATTTTTTCATAAAAGTCCTTAAAACACGCAAAGTGAAAGAAATAAAAAAATAGGACTAACTATTCTGAACCAATTTTCCAATGATTTTTTCCACTAAAATGAAGTTAATTGAATTTAGATATTTTAAATATTAAAAAGTATTGAAAAATTGTTTAAAATCCGGACATGAAAAATCGGATGAGAATTTGGTCGGAAATAAATAAATTCAATTTTGTATGGAAGGTGAAAACCGATGACCTGGAGAAGATTGGAAAGCGGAGAGGTGAACTCCGTACAGTTTCGCATGTTGAAAATGCGCGTTTTTGCCAACTTAAAACCTTAATATCTTCGCGAATTCTACAGAAGTGCTCAAGTGCCACACCAATTGTTGTTTGTGTTTAGTTCCTTGATAATTTAGTGCTGGTTTGAAGAAGATCCGTGAGAAACATGTCTGACATGTGCATTGTAAGTAGTTTTCTCCACAAAATGCTTATTTATGTATGTACCTCGTGTCTCTTCATGCTCCACCTATGGGCAAAACTCCTCCCACAAGTGACACAATTGTGTGCCTTCTCGGTCGTGTGGGTGGGAATGTGTTTCTCAAGGTCACCCTTCCTTTTGAAGTCCTTTTCGCAAAGTATGCACGGATATCGGACCGGGTTTTCGGCATGTTCAATCCTCACGTGGTGACCTAGGCTACCCTTGTCTTGGTAGGTTTTTTCGCAGCCTAGTACCGTGCATGGGAAACGTAGTCGATCCCATGCGCTATGGGCTGCGTCAATATGTAGCCGTAAAAACGTAGATGTAGAAAACACCCGGTGACAAGCGTCACAACTTGGTCGCTTCCGGTTGCTGTGAAGTCCCCACATGTGGCAACGTAAGGCGAGTATGTTTTTGGAAATTTTCCCGCAAACCTAAACAAGACAGAAGTTGCAAAAGGCGGATTGCAAAATTAGTTTCACTTTGCAAATTTACACCCTCACCTCACATTTGACCTTGGCATCCGGATCGTGCGTGACCATGTGTAGAGTCAAATCACGCTTGGTGTGAAACATTTTGGAGCACTTTGTACATTCCCATTTCTTTCCTGGCTTCATATTTACATGAATTCAGTATTTGTTGAGTACTTGCAAACTTGTACATATATTGCCCTAGATCACTAAATTAGAAAATCTTGACTCACACAAGCTGTAATGGTTTAGTTCGTTAATTACTCACGTTTACATTCTTCAAAACTTGGAGATAGATCAGTTTTTAACCCACGTTTAGGACGAAGGGTATTCTTAATGAGAGGAGGTCGAGGATGAACTGTGCCTGGTAAGAGTCAAGTGAATGGGTTGGACACAAGGATAGCGACTTATGGGCACAGGCAAAGTTTTGCCCAAGTTATTCCTTCATTAAGGTTGAAAGAGAAACATGGGACCCTTCATGGATTACGTAATTAGGCCATTCAGTATTTTTTTCTCTTAATATCGTACTACATATATAGAATGGAATAATATGTACACAATATCTAATACAGTACATTTATATGTATGCATGTGATGAGAAACCTCGTCACAAGGTTTTTGAAGTCGTTAATCTTGAGAGGTCCGTAATCATGTAAATTATACTTTTCCAACCGTCAGTGCGCTACATGTAGATATTTTTACCCTCTGAAAGGCCAGTGCATAAAATTTTATCCAGCCCATTGTCCAACTTCCTTGTGAAACTGGAGGAAAAGGCAATTCTATTTTGAAATCGGACAATAATATGGAAATAATACAGAATACGTCTGGAAACCCGTTTAAAATTCTCGACTTGTGCTCAAACTAGCTCATTATGAAAATATGAAAATACGGGTCGGTTTGCTATTTTTTTATGGTGAACAAGATAAAATTTGTCCCATTGAAATATTAGTTTTAGATACACGTAAAGCACCTGCATTGTAAGAACTGAATCTAAAATTTATAAAATTTTAAAATGTATGATTTATTTATATCCGTGTAATTATGTAATGTGTAAAATTAATATCTTATGTAAAAAAACAGAAAATAAGTAATTTCAATAAACTTGTGTATTTTCATTAAATTTCATTCAGTATTTGTTTCCTCGCATCATGTTAATTTCCAAATCCATCTTCCCGAGACCGAAATTGTCATACCAAAATTTCCGGTTAATAAATTTTCGACGTGGCGTCTTTAAAAAATAATGTGAACGGTAATTATTATTTATTTCTAAGTAACATATTATTATCTATGATTTATCAATATAAATACTTATTTATTTATACATATCAGTATAACTAATTACATAAAACATAATTCAACTAAAAATGATAACATGACGCAAGATAAATATGTGTACATAAATAAATTTATATTGATCCTGCATACATAAATACACGTTATATGAATTAAGGGAATTAATTACACAAAATCTCTCAACCAAATGGACAGAGCGAAATTGTCTCTAATAATTCCCAGGGAAAAGTCTACCATAGCAAATTCCCAGAGATTATTCGGTGTTCTGAGCAGAAACACATTAATAGGACACTAAAGTCACAACAGCGTAAATGCTGTAATTTTTGCTTAAGAATTTGTCAAAATTCGTTTACATTTTGATAAAAAGTATAATAAGGAGGTAAAAATATATAATTACTCAATAAGCTAAAGCTTTTTGCACAGTTTTTCATACCATACACCTAAAAATGTCGAGGACAACTCACTACTGGCAGCGTTGTGGGAATGGGTGTGCGAATTACTCAAAAATGTAACGAGAGCTGTACACTAGTTGTATTTGTTGAAGACTATATTTTTATAGCTTAAACAATATGTAGGATGTGCAATGAATAGAACGAAGATCTAAATATACATCTCTGGTTCAAAAAATTGGTGAACAGGTCAGCAATTAGCCTTTAATATGCTACACCGCCGCTGGCCTGACTGTCATGACTCATGCGTAGTCGGACGACCTCTACAAAGTACTACGTATTGATGCATTATATACTAAATAGATGAACGGACATCTGAAGGTACTACTTACATTCGAGTACTTTTAAGTATCCATAACACCAATATTTATGTATGTACTAAATGGAAAATTAAGAAGGAAGAAAATAGTAGAATTTAGCTTCCACATACAATCTGGAATGGATTTTTGGTACTTATCTATAGTTTATTGTGTACCATAGGAAAAATAGAATGTATAGACGACAAATCGCCTGTACATAAGAACACTCTAAATAATCGGGCGACACCCATTATCAGGAGGTGAGTATGTACAGTGCGAAAAAACGTACGTCTTGATATTGTAGATAATTAAACCTGCGATTGCACAAAGCGAAACTGTAGAAGTGCCAGAAGTCGGCACCTTCCAAGGTTTGATAAGTCAAGCTGAAAATCAGAATATAGTAAGCTTTAAAGGTATCCGTTATGCAAAGAGATTTACTCCTTTGAAAAGAATTTACACTTATGTTACGGACGTGGATGCAGATAATGAGACAACGTGCTATCAGACCTACATAATTCCATCTTTGAAGGAGGACTGCCTGATTCTTTCCATTTATAAGAGGAAGACACTAAACGACGTTCCATGCTGCTTTTTTGAATAGTATTTCAATTTTGTTTATCCGTGCACATTACATGGTGCATACGAATTTATATTATTACACTCTTAGAAACTTGGTATTGAAAAAACCCTAACGGTATTGATACGTGACTCTACTGCCTTGGTATTAAACAGTTATACCATATTGGTATAGAACCGGTATTGAAATTATACCTCATGGTAATAATTTTAATACTAATTGGTATTAAGTTTTATACCACATAGTATTAATTCAATACCGGATCAATACCACGCGGTAGAGTCACGTATCAATACCAACGGTTATTGATTTTTTTAAGAGTGTATGCTCAAGTATCAAGTCTTTTAAGCTATGCATTTCACTTGATGCATATCTTCGTGTAGCATAAATAGAAATAAGTTTGTACATCTTTTGGTCCAACATGGACCAACTTTTCAGTGGTCTATCGAAGATGATCTCATTGTATTGTCCATACTTCATGGACAAATTTTTAGGTAGGCGGGCACACTTGTCCCGAACAAAGCATAAAGGAAGCAGAACATTCCTGGACAAAAAATACGCAGTTTTTCGCAAACAGTACAAGGCATGGGAAAAATTCTAAAGGAATATATTTGAGAGTATCAGATGTAAGCAGAGAAGAAAGCAAAAAATATCTAATTTTGGCTCCATAAATATTACGACATATGGATTTGAAAAGGTGGAAAGTAGACCTATTCAAATTATTTAAATTAGTTGAGCCAAGTACTTGTCGAAATTAGGTATGCTGGTTTATTCTAGCGACCCGTAAACCAATACTCCTTAAATTCCAAAAATAACCAAGTCGGATTCTTAGTTTTATGCAAGGTCAACTTATTTACCAAATATGAAACGCTTTTACTTTGTCACTTATCTACTTAAGTTCCAAGTAGCAGAAGAATCATGTCAATCTATATTACAGTAGGTGCTCTCCATGCAATTTTTTCTAGCTTGGTGTAAATGTAAATACTAATTTCAATTTCCGGCACGGTCGGAAGCGAGCATCCACACGACATCGGATAAGTACCAATGGTGGAGGTAGGCATGCATACCTCCACCTTTTGCAGAATATATTTTTTGCAGTAGGTAATATTGATGAACAGGTGGAAGCCGTCCAGGTATGAACGTGGGTTTTCAGATCGGACATTGATGATTAGATACATAAATCGATAGTAAATACTTTAATATCAACCCTTAGTACTAATAATAGTTTTGAATTTGTACTAATTTTAAACGCTTTTGAAAATTATATACCTTTGCTTTTTCAGGGACGAAATTTTGCAGTTTTCCAGGTTTATTTGTGTGAAATTTAAACCAGATTGCTCGATACGCATATATACTAATTCCTACCCAATTCTCCCGATAAAAATATCCAGGATTGATGGAATCCAATGACAGCGAAGGATGCACAACTTATGAACCATAAAATATCCTGTAAAAAACGGGCGATGTGAAATATTTATAAGGTTTTGATACATCAAATAAATTACTTTTTAAACTTACTTATTTGCTCACCAATTCATTGTCAAAAATATAAGCATGGCTTTCCTACTCATTGAAAGTATGTGAAGTTTTACATACGCTAAGGTATTGAAATATGTGAGTGACACGTACTCATTGTCACGTCACCCTCAGACCAAGTCAGTTGGACAGCTTTGAAATAAAATTTTAAAAAAACAATGAAATGACGAATTAAATATGTTTGTCTTCAAAATTACAGGCCTCGCTATAACTTTTGATCTCTATGTTGAACTTTGAATGAATTACGAAAAATTTGGAAGTTACAAACTTCCGAAATTTGTGTGCGATCGAGAAAGCAGGGCCTTATCCCCCGTCGGGTATATTCTGAAGGAAAATTGACCTGGATTTGGTTATGGAAATGTTTGTCAATTGTAAACCATAACACGGAAGAGATTTTTAATAAAGCAAAGTCTTTACCATTTTTATTACTTTGTAAATAATTGTAAGCATTCATATGGGTGTTATTCTGCACTGCAGTATATATATGTGCATATATATTCGTGTGTATGTATGCGTGTGTATGAATGCAAATTTCATTAGGTACATGGGGCAGCCATGGACATATAACTTATAACTTCAAATTATGACGTATGACTTATTTTATAAGTGATAAGTCATTGAAACGCCATATGTCGACGTATATTTATAATTTATTTGCGATTTTGTCACAAAAACTTTCCGTGAAAATGGAGGAACTAGTATTTTAAATCAAAGAAATAATATCAAGTTAATGCATGAAAATATCCGACATATGACAGGTTTAATCAAGCAGTTCCTAACTGGCGTTAAAAATTCTTAGCTTTATTCACTAATCATAATATAAGCATAAGGTTTAATATGTTCTGGCCTAGCATGCATTACGGCAGCAAATATATAGATGTGCTTCATTACGCAGTTTTATAATGGTTTAGGTATGACAAAGTGCAATTGATTTAAAAAAATAAACCACAACAATTCTACTCGCTAGCCGTCTTTTTCAAATATTTTTACGACCCCAAGAGGTTAGTGGGGTTTAAAAAAAGTTGGAAATAAAAATCAAATGAACTCAACTAATGGAACACGTATTGTTCTAACTTGCCAAATTAAAGAATTTGATTAAATTGTGTAAAAATATGCTAGAAATGAGATGTAAAAACCCTTATCAATCACCTCATAAACCTGTTGTTTCCCTCTAATCAGCATTATAAAAACGAATGCGTTCATTTAGTAGTTGGCCATTCTTTGTCCAACCTTCGTCCTCGACTAATACATTCATACACTGTCAAAAATCTGGTAGTCATATACATGTACTTAGTTTTAGCATTGATTTGGTAATATCTTTCTACCAGATTGGTAGTAGTTTCCTTCTGAGTGATAAATTTGTAATTACCAAAAAAAATAACTCAACTGTAATTCTCGTTACGTATTACCGTGCCAATAAATAGTCATATAGAGTCCGGTCAGTAATGATTTAATGCCAGTTTTCTAAGAGTGTGGTTCTTCATTTCGTTGCATTTGTGCAAACCACTAATATCATAATGATATGTACAAAACCAACGGTGCTGATGGTGAGTAAACAAATTGGTAAATAAAATATCTGCAGTTTTATAATTCGTCTGGTTTTAGATAATTTATTGTAGGATTTCGTTTAGACAATTCTTGCCACCCTGGTCTCATCGAGTATGCCATCTCCACTGGAAAATAGGGTACCACCGGAATCGTCTCTTGTAGGAATTTTTTTTATAAATTTATGAAATGTGCATAGAACTTCTGATCATGTAATAAATAAATAGGATTCACTCCAATCTTTCAACAACGCATCCAGCGTTTCGTTAACAACTCAAATATCCCGCCTCGGGAGGAATGGGGCGACGAGAGAATCTCGTTATCAGAGGACCCCCTTTGTACTTTATGGTGGTTGGTGAGTTAATTAATATTGTGTCAACCTCGTATGAATTTCAGGCCAATATATTTATGTGTCTTGAGCTGATTTAGGCTTATCGTAAAATTGTGCTTTCTTCTTCTTCCAGCTCGTCAGGTTTTCCTGGTCGTGGGCGTCTAGGTACATAAATAACGATGGGTTGGCATTACATCGACTTTCGCGCGTATAAAATATATATTTTATTCACACATAGCTCAAAATACTGTTGCAGTGAGATACCCTGGAGGAGATTGTCACACAATTAGTTACCATGGTTACTGCGCGTCATTGTTGGATTGTCTGAAAGATGGAAAGTTTGGGGGGTATTCATCAAGTTGTGGGTTTAACCTAGCAAACCCATTATTCTGCTGCCCGTATTAGAGGTGAAATGGATTACCAAAACGAAAAATCTATGCAATTCATAATGCACTTGGATTTGTCCATCCATTCCATTTCAAATTTTGTGGAAATAAATCCAATCCATAATTTTTATACCATTAAAAATCGACTCTAATCAAAACCATACCCGCAAAAAAATTATATTATCTAGTTCTATTTTTAAACTAAACCAATAAAATTGAGTTTAAAAGCATTTCATATTTTAATATAATACAACTAACAATGGAAATATGGAACCTTTTTTCAAGCTACACCGGGATCGACTAGCGATTTATGTCAAAAATTCAAGCCAAAAATTAGGAGTCACATGACACTTATATTTCCGTTGAATGGACCCCTTTGAAGTAAAACATTGGGGGTCAAAGTTCGTACTCCTCCCTGGTTTTCGCACCGTGGAGGAAAATGCAAGAGAAAATTTGCTCAAAAATTGAACTTAACCGCCAATATTTTTCTTCAAAGGGAAACATTTGGGCCCATTTTGGATTGGTTGTGCATTTTCCCTCTTCAGAAGTCCCTGTCCAATAAAATATTTCCATGATAAAACTTTTTGTGCTGAAACACATTTTTGAGCTATTTCTTCATGCCCAGCTCACTTTACTCAATCGCATTTCAAAACAGATTATGTATGAAGGTGTGCAACCCTTTTATAGTTTTGTAATGGCTGTCTGTCTGCGATGTGATATCAAAGGTATGCATTTTTACACATCGTTTCCGCCATTACGTTTCTAATTCCCTAGCATTTTACAAGTTTAACGACAGTGGTGGTAGGGCACATCCGAAGCAAAGTGAGAGAATGCATGGGAGAGAATGCTAAACATAAATGTTTAACCTCGGAACACAACTTGAGCCATTTTAGAGGTCGCCCCTTTGTTACAATGCTTTTCTAACGGTTAAGTTCTGGCTTGGGATGCATTACAGTAGCTAATACATACATACATAGACTTGCTTCATTAGTTACTAATGGTTACGTAGGTTTGACAAAGTGCAATTGAACTAAAAAAATAAACCACAAAAACTCTACTCGCTAGCAGTCTTTTTCTAAATTTTTACGACCCCACGAGGTTAGTTGGGTTTTAAAAAACTGGAAATAAAAATCAAATGAACTCAACTAATGTAACACGCCTTGTATCAAGTTTTCAAATTAAAGAACTTTACTAAACTGTGTAAAAATATGCTAGAAATGAGATGTAAAAACCCTTATGTATCAATCACCTCATAAACCTGTTATTTCCCTTTAATCAGCAATATAGAAACGAATGCGTTCATTTACTAGTTAGCCATTCTTTGTCCAACTTTGCTCCTCACTCAACTAATACATACATATATACATAATTCTAAATTTCATTATATTTCCGTAAAACTAATGACATAATGAAATCCACAAAATCAACAGTGATGATGGTAAGTGAATAAGATTTGTGCAATTTTGAAATTTTTCTAGTTTTAGATAATTTATTGAAGAAATTATTTTATTATTTTAGACACTTCTTGCTACTCTTGTCTCATCGAGTATGCCATCTCCACTGGAAAATAGAGTACCTCCGGAATCGTATGTTCCGAAACTTGTAAGAATTTTTTCTAAACAAATTTCTGAAATATCCTGACTTATTTCCATATATAGAACTTCTCATCAGAAACATAAATTTGTAGGATTCACTCCAATTGTTCAACAACGTTTCCAGCGTTTCATTAACAAGTCAAGTAACCCGCTCCGGGAGGAGTGGGGCGACGAGACAATCGCGTTCTCAAAGGACCCCCTTTGTACTTTATGGCGGATGGTGAGTTATTTAACTACCGTGTCAACTTCGCATGTGTTTCCGACCAATAAATTTACGTTGTTATGTAATTTGAGATTATCTGGGTTTATTGTAAAAGTGTGATTTCATCTTCTTCCACAAAGACATTTCCGTGTATTTTCACTCTTTTGCTACATTTAGGAGTAGAAGGTCACTACTTGTCGGGCCCCGATTTCGATCTCCTTTGGATATGTTGTAGTACTACATGAGTGTAGAAAGAGTGAAGGAGGGTTAGACTCCATGAGCCCATTTACGCCCGCCACACCCCCTCAAAGGCGCCCAAACCCCCAGAGTTGCCACACTAAATTTATCGCCAAAAATCGGGTTTTGGTCAGATTTTCAAGAAATTTACATTTTTGTGATCCCAGATAGTTGCTCTATCATATCCAATAACAAACTCAATTTTTTTGAAATTTCGAATTTTTTCAATACTTGGTCAGAAAATCTTCGAAAATATTGAAAATTTCAAAAAAGTTGAGTTTGTTATTGGATATGATAGAGCAACTATCTGGGATCACAAAAATGTAATTTTTTTGAAAATCTGACCAAAACTCGATTTTTGGCGATAAATTTAGTGTGGCAACTCTGGGGGTTTGGGCGCCTTTGAGGGGGTGTGGCGGGCGTAAATGGGCTCATGGAGTCTAACCCTCCTTCACTTTTTCTACACTCATGTAGTACTACAACATATCCAAAGGAGATCGAAATCGGGGCCCGACAAGTAGTGACCTTCTACTCCTTAGTTTACAACGGTTTATTTGGGGATTTAAGGATTGAAGTTGTATACTAAAGTGCATATTTAAACCAGTGTTAAGTCAATTGCTCAACTTTTGAATAAAATATTCTAATATATGTATACTTAAGATTCATATATATACCCCAGGCTGCACAATCACGAGATTATCACCAATTTTTAACGAATCTGGCGACCCCAGTTTTCGTGTTAGCGACGTGGGAGACTGGTATAGATTTGGTGCTCAACTGGGTGCAAGTGTCGCGATTTTTAACGTATCTTATTCGTTCTAAACACGTGTAGAAGGAACGAGTTTCGCGACCAGATCACGAGAATAACCCCAAAAAAACACGTATTAAAAAGTGAAATTATACGTTCAGAACACGAGATTTATTTGCAAATTAGATGCGGGAATTATGATTTATTACTGACCATTAACATTACATAAAGTTTTAAATCCAAATAACAATAAAAAATTGTGAAAAAAATCAATTGTCTGATTCTGGTCCAGTATTTCTTAATGGAAGAGCTGCATTGGACTTCTCCAACTTTTTCCTAATTAAATAAAGTAAAAATTATGAAAGTTTTATAAATAGGTACAAATAATATTGCATTTTGTCCTACCTATCCGATTCAATACGCTTGTTGGAATTTTTGAGCCAATTTTTAATTGCTTCCCAAATCTCGTCGTCGTCAGCGTTGCCCAAGTTTTCCAGTCCTTGAATTGCCTCTGGAAACACAGCAATTTCATTGGTGAATTTAATTTAAAGGAGCGCATTATATATTTAATTAATTCACATACAACTAATTTACCATATATAATGTGCTTCATCCATGATTTTGAAAAAGGTGACTTCGGTCCTCTTGAACCAATCCAGTTGTATGACGATGCATACTTATCTGTCAGCAACTTGGCTAGTATCCGCTGTGTAGCAATCTTTACATCCTTGGTCGCACGTATGCCTTTCTGCAGTTCTGTAATCTGTCAAAGTTGCAACAATTAATATATGCATAGTTAAAAATAGCAACATGAATAATACTTATATAAATACTTATATTATTACTTATATTATAATACTTATATTACGCCACATGGTAATTCGCAATATTATTTGATAAATATTTTACCAATGTGATTCTTGATGCCTTGGCGAAATCCTCGAGTTTCTTCAAGTCAGACTCATCATCCACTGGTAATAAACCCACTGGAAACTTTTCGTTTTGACCACCCGTCTTGGTCCCCCAATTGTAATTGCTCACTAAAACGTCTACGCTTTCCTGTAGTTGTCGCAGTTGGGCTTTCATCACATTCATTTGACGTACCATCCACTTTTGGAATTCTGTAAAATACAAGTTATTTATTACTGAGACATTACATAAATTGTCACACACCTACCTAAATTTCCTGCGTTTGGTGACGTGCCATTATCTCTGCCGAAAGTTGTATCAATGTCCTCTGCCTGAGGAATCGAACGGCTTTCCAATTCGTGAGAGCTAGATAAAACTTGTTCGCTAGAGAGTGTGCCTTGGTATTGCTGTGAATTAGTTGGCGATGGGGGGGTCACTCGGTCCTGGTAAACTTGATTCGTGGCCGTCTTCCTTTTCTGATTGAAAACCCTCTCCCACTAAACCTGGATAAACAGTATTATTTATTATACTACTTTTTTGGTGCAATGGAATATAAAAAATGCGCGATTTTAACTTACTAAAATATTGTGGTGGCGGCGGTATTGTCTTCGTGGGAATAGAACGATTTTGCTTCATTTTGGGCGGTTCTTCTTCACTATCGGAGTCGCCGGGCGATGGTAGATGAACAGTTTTCTTGTGTCGTTGCCCTCGACCAGTTACTTCCAAGTCGCTCTCAAATTCCGGATCAGTTTCTTCCAATGCTTTTCCAACATTATTTTTTGCTTGATTATAAGAACCTTAACAAACAAATAAACAGCATTTTTCTTTCTTATAAATAACTTTATCAATGTATGCAATAAAAAAGACTCACCAAATATTTTGCCTCCGCCTAAAACTTTTACGTCAAACGATAACCAAACTTGCTGATTTGGCGTGTCCCCATTCATGACGGCCTTCGATTGGCGTTCTGAAGATTTGTACGGCGGCCACCAACATTTATTTTTACTTGCTGACAGCCAATTGATTGGGATAATTTCTACCTCGTCAGTTTCAACAAAATGAACTATAGAGTACGGCATTGTAAAAAGTCACTGAATTTCACTGTGAATCAAGGGATAGCATATAAATTCAGTCTCAAATGGAAGTACTACACATTTTGATTCGATTAAATTAATATTAAATCTTCGTACTGCACTCAAGTCGGAGATAAGTTGAACACCAATTAAAGAAGAAGGACAAGGAGATTGAAAAAAATCTTCACGTTTTTTAAACTTCTGTCCAAATAATTCTGAAGGTGATCCTCTAACAAAATGGTGAATTTTAATTATAGTTCCATCTTTTAGTTTGCAAAAATTGTTCCCTAATTTGTTGGATAATTCGAAATTTGCAAACTTACACACTTTGAAACACTCGGGTGAATTAATGTCGACTTGGAAAAACGATACTTGACAAACTGGCTGCTTGAAAGAGGACAGGTCTATTTTTTCTCTTTCAACTAACCGCCGGTAAACTTGTTGCAAGGGGAGAGATGGAGATCTCACCAATCTCTTTATTTGTTGTAACTTATTTTCAAACGGGAAAGCACTAAATTGGTCAAGGGGACCGTGTCGAATGCAATCCCGGGATAAATGTAGTAAATTATGAAGATTATGACTGTTATACTTTTTCCCATATAATTCACCAAAGTTATTAACGAAATATATTAGTAGCTCTTGTGCATAATTATTTTTACTCAGATAAGTGTTAGGATTTGCAAGAATCGTGATGGCTACGTGGAAACACAAAAAATGCTGGTAAAATTGAGGAGCAAGGATTTTCTTCAAAACTGTGGGGCCAGTATATAAAATAAACTGTCTGTATTCAGTTGCTTTCCAGTGTTCGAGATCTCTAATTGGACGTGGTTTTCTTGAAAATTCTTTTGGTATTGAGGTTTTGATTTTTAGCAAATTAGTGGATAATTGGTCAACTTGGTGAGGACGCAGACGACCTGGACATTTTTTTCCTTTCACCCATAAAAATAGTTATTTTCTGGTCACTCCCAGGCACACAAGATGCATAAAATCGACTGGCACATCTTCTACTAAATCAATGGGTAGTAATTCTATTATTGAGGCTTGATTATGATGTGCTGTATCTAATTTTGATCGGAAATTTTCGTTATTTCTTAAATTATAATTTCCTGGTGGAAAGGTAACTCTATTATCCAAATATTCACCCTTTATGTCACACTTTCCACAAGAACTATAACCATTATGCCACTTTGTCCCCAAAATAAATGATCTTGCTGGGACGTCACGCACAATTGCAGATATTTTAAGTTTTAAATTCGAAGATTGCTCTATGGTGTTGAATTCGTTGACAAACTGTCTCAAAAAATTATTAATATTTGTTGGTTTTCCAAAACCAGAATAAATTCCAATTACAACGACCTGATTATATTCTACAATTTTCGCTAAAATGGGCCAGAATTGTCTTGTGCTGCTTTTATAGAGGGGGATTCCGTCAATATTAATTTGAATTTTAATATAGTCTGCTGTTGGAACTTGAATTAACTTTTCGACGGATGAAATCCACTCAAAATGTACGTATTCGCCAGGCTCCACCTTTTCAATTGTAGTCGATCTTGGAGTGCATAAAAGTGTTCTAGGATCTTTCGGTAAATCAAAATTAGGATGTCGATTCAAAATTTCCAGCAGATCTCCTAAAGCAGAGAATGTAATGTTATGCTTTAGTGCCCACCCCCTTAAATCACTTGCACTACTTTCCATATTGGACTGTTCAGAATCACTATCACTTAGATTTGACTGCGTGGATAAATTATTGTCAGAATAATCCGAGATTTCATCTGCTTCAAAAATCAAATATTCGGGTGATGGTGAACTCTGTGTGTGTGCCTCTGGCAAGGATGACGAGGGCAGCGGTATTATTTTTTCTGCACTTTCTGAAATTAATGCAAAATCCGAATTTCCTTGCCTTACTTTTCGGAATATTTTTCTTGATCGTGCTTTCTCCATTACTCATCTCGAACTAAAGAATTGTCCCTCTTTCTTTACAACGGAGAGAGCAGCATTTAGGTTTCTGTGACCAACAACACTAGAATTTCTCGTGAATTTCTGGTGTTCGAAAACACGAGTTTCGGGTTGTTGTAATTCTCGGGTTGTACATGTGTTATGAACGAGAAAATTGGTGATAAAGAATCCGTTTGAAAGTCGTTTTTGTAATACGTGTTACGAACGTGTTTAAAAAAATATTTACACGAATAATGCCCCAAACACGAAATTGACACCGGGGACACCAATAATACATGTGATTTTCTCGGTTGGTGCAGCCTGGGACGTATATTCGGACACATACTTAAGAATTATTCGGTCTAAATTTTTCATTTGCTGAAAAATTCAGAGTTGCTTACTATGGGTATTGTTCAACCAAAAATGTAGATTTCGGGTAGAATGCAGGGTTTCATTTTTTAGGCTAAAACTATTTTCCCATGGCAGTTGGAAAAAGTGGGAGATCTGAGATGCATCCGAGGCTGACATATCCCTTCAAGAATTTTCCGAAATTCTGGGTGAATAACCCACGTGGAGGTTTGCATATGCAAAAAAATGAAGACTGCAAGGAAAATTAAGGAATTATAAATAAGTTACACTTCTCTTCGCGTTATACAGATTTAATCAGCAGACACGGTACAAGTAGAAATATTTGTTTATATACTTTTTTGCGAGGTTAAAAATTTTAGCAAGGTAAATTTCCAGTAAAACTGAAAAAAGATATCGATGAATGTATGAAAGCGAAACAAGTTCATGACATGGTCTGATTTAATGTAATTTAGTGGGACAGTTAATAATATTTAACCGAAAAATATGTTGTATACAATTTTGTTGTTTATTTAAATAATTTTAATTAAACTTGGGAGTGCGATTAAAAATCCGTCAATTTAAATCTATTTATTGGTAATGTTTTTACCCAGGTAATTACGTGGCTCGCTTTATAATATGCATATAAATATATATAAATGTTATCTTTTTAAAATTTGACTTGGTAATAAACACTTTGAACTAAATGTTGTGCTTGATTTGTGATTTGGATTTAGAGATTAGTGGATTATATTGTTAATTGATTAGTTTGGCCAAAAACGAGATAATATCATGTAATTTTTCTTCATTGCGAAACCTTTCTTCAATTAAATTCACATTCTACTTGAACTAAATATTCTCGATTACATACGCCGCACACTCTTAGAAATTCAGTATAGAAATAATTCCTGGCGGTACTCATATATTTAAGACTGCTAAATTGATATTAATATGTAATACCGTGTAGTAATACTTAGCTCGGCATTAAAGTTTTACCGTATCGATAGCAAATTTTTACTGACAGGTACAATTTTAATACCAAGCAGGGGATAGCAACTTTAACACCGAGAAATCAACATCTGCATGAATTTGCCAGATTCTTAAACGTGTACATATTTACTTATCTATTGGATAACTCGATCGATCAGTTTCAAATTGCAGAGTATTACGTACTTATGTATTTATGTACTTATCTATAGCTTATCAGAATTCCAATATTTCACTTATTCATTTGAAATGTGCAAATTTCTGAATGCAAGAAACTTGTGGTTAAGTAAGTTTTTTACGACATAATCGTAATCCCGGAGCGGAGATTCGTCAGTAAAGAATTAAAGTACTAAACATAAACCCACCTGGACAGATATGTATGCATGAGGATATATAAACCCACTAGTTTAATTACCTCGGTGCAGTATAAATTTACATTTGTACGAATTTACTATATGTATTTTGCAAATATTTTTAAGTAGCACAAAATGTCACGAATTTCACTCGCCTTCATTTTAACTTTCGCGAGTGCATTTGCCTTTACTGATGAAAATCATCCTATTGATATTTACTCGAAGGTAATTATATCAATATTTTTTGATCCATCAGCGTCGTTAGTATTAAATAGCTTTTCACCCACGGTGACAATAAATCATTGGTCACTTACAAACATAACTTAAATATTTTTACCGTTTGATGAAAGTATTGTTTAAAATATGTTTTATGTAGAATGTTGGTACACGACATGATATCGGAATTCTAGGAACCGTGACACCCACTCCGTGGCTTTGTGGCACAGGTGACAATGAATTTACACCCGAAAACAAATACCTGCGGGATGCAAAATGCAAAAATGGATGTAACTTGTACAAACATCAATTACAGAGAATGGGAACTTTTTATCCATGGAGGTGACCGGGTGTACAAACCAAGCTTGTATGATGAGTGCTGGATATTGGTATGAAGTGGCTCCAGTATTTTCGCCAAGTACGATAAAATTACACTCTGTTTCAGTTTTTAAATGTGCTCATTTGCATATTTATGTAAGTATGTTGTACTTACATATTATTATTAATATTCTGCACAGAGACAAATATCAACTCGCTAATGTACCACGCCAACTTTTATCCATACCCTCGAACTTCGGAGTATATTCGGCTATCGGTTGTCCCTGTTCCGGGGAGTTTTACGGCTGGAAGGACTTATCGCGTATTTGGAGAATTCGAAATACCCGAATCTATTCGAGGGGTATTTTTATTTTTATCAACAATACATATGCATAAATGTGATAAAAATAGGTTTGTAATTACTTACAAATACGCAGAAAAAAGGCATGATTGCGGTTGGCCTGAGTGACAATACCCCAGCCTGGCATGTTCATCGTTGCTTCGAAACCACAATTTCGAATTAAATTATTCAATATAATTTTAATTTAAGTAGAAATGTAACTCAAAAGTGAACATGCATAATTGCATGCATTTTTATTTGTGCACATGTATGTACATACATTCATAAGTGTGTATAAATGCTACAACTTATATAGTAAGGTTGACTTTTATTTACTTAAAATAATATGTTCAGTTAGGTTTCGAATTATCATAAGGCATCAATAAAATAGAAATGTGTAAATGTTACCTACATGTATTGTCTAAATATACTGATAAGCACATGGTGTGTCCAGTTGATATGAATTTTACTTAAATGTGTTAAAATATGCATGTTAACAAAGTTTTCCATATTTATCAATTTTTAAGTTTGTCGACTTTTATGAGGGCTGAGCATTTTCCAACCTTTTTCCCAGGACAAGGGATTAAAAGGGTCCTTTTGTTTTTATGCCTCATTAGAAGGGACACTTCGTTTGAGCATAACTCTGCGTAGTTTGTATGGTCACTTCTGACCACATTTTATTACATATGTATGAATGTCTCCTATGTACTGTCAAAACCTTAAAACCAAGTTGTTTAATAAAAATCACCATCAGTCTAAAAATATCTTCCAGCGAGATCATTTTTACTTTCATGGTAGCAAAGCCGTTAGTTTGTATGATTCATATTGTTGGTCTCAACCTGCCTCATTGAGTGTCTCAAAAGTGCCCCAGTCTCAGAGTCTGTTAAAGTCTCACAACGAGAAGAACTGTTTCCTGTTCAACACTTGATAAACTGAAGTAGATCAGTGTTATTGTTGTGAAGTGAAAAGGTCAATTCATCAGTTAATAATAGCAGTAAGTCTCCACTGCCCAGTGCCAGTCTGGACGGAGTAAGCCTGTAAAAGTGTGCCGTGAATTGGACCATTGTTTGGACAAGAGACATCAACCCTTTGACTCTACCCGAAGCTGAACCTTCCGCCCGAGGACGAGTTTTATTGAGGACGACCACTCTACCCAAATCCTGAGTTCCCGTCTACCAAATCTCGACCTTTTTCGATTCTACTGCTCTTTATTAGGCAAAGAGAAGGTAACAAGTCGATTTCTGTTTTTCGCTTCTGCTTTCCCTACTCCACAACGACAAGATGACATCAACAATCAAAAGAATAGATGTTACGCACATTGTCAAGCTAGACGACACCAATTACGCGAGGTGGAGACTTCAGATAACTTTACTTCTCAAGTCACATGACCTGTGGGAAGTGGTCAACGGCACTACCCAACGACCTGCAGATGAAGCACAACAGCCAGCATGGGATAAGAAGGATATACAAGCACAATCCATCATTGTCCCCACTCTCAGTGCCACTCAAACAAATCATATTTATGACTGCGCTACATCAAAAGCAATGTTTGACAAGCTGAAAAGCATCAATTCAGATTCAAGCTCGCTTAACAAGCAACATACCATGGCTAGATTCTTCAATTACAAAATTGGCAAGAGTCAGTCATTGATTGAAGCATTTGCAGAGGTGGAAGAGCTGGGCAGAAGACTAAATGAAATGGGAGTCGTCATGCCTGAAGCATCCATTGTCACAAAGATTGTCTCAAGTCTCCCCGACGAGGAGTATAATGCCTTCAAAAAGGCATGGGACAGCGTTCCGGATAAGGACCAGAGCATGATAATGCTACTTGCCCGTCTGAAGAAGGAGGAGTTGGAGAGGAAGGAATCCAAACCAGCAGCAACCAATCAAGATGCAGCAAAGGCATTCTTGACCCATGACCAGAAGAAAGGCAAGAAGAAACAGAGCATTGAAGAGTTGAAAAAGGCAACAACCTGCCATGGGTGTGGGAAAAAGGGTCACTGGAAAAGGGAATGCAGGAGTAATCCACAAAATCAGAGCAATAAACCTTCAGATAATCCCGCACAAGCCAATAGAAGCCCTGGGAAAGCGTTCATGCTAAATGCAATACAAACCCCCATGCAAGCACCCGTGACTGAACAAGTGTGGCTAAGCGATTCTGGAGCTAACCAGCATGTCTGTGGAGATAAGGCATGGTTTACAAGATATGAAGAGTTTGACACTCCCAAGTCAGTCTTCCTAACGGACAAAAGGGCTACACAAGCACTAGGAAAAGGGACAGTGACACTTGACGCTTACATCAACGGCATATGGGAGGAATGTACCATAGATAACGTGTTGTACATACAAGGGGCTGTCAACCTTTTTTCTGAGGGATCAATGGCTAAGAAAGGGTACTCCATCGTCCGTGACAAGAATGGAGCAACATTTTATCAGGATGGACGGTTTAAGGGGCCAATTGCCGAGTTCAAGAATGATATGTATGTCATGAAGTTTCGTCCCACTTCACAAATTATTGCTGCATACATGCATCCCGTGACTAATGCTAAACTATGGCATCAACGCTTGACACACATTAATATGAACTATGTGGTGGACTCCATCAAGAAAGACGCAGTTCGTGGAATTGACCTGGAGGCCGTGTCACATAAAATTATGTGTGAAGACTGTGAGATTGGGAAGCAATCTCGAAAGCCATTTCCAGCCGCAACAAGAAATGCAACGATAAAACCAGGAGAAATGGTCCATATGGACTTAGCCGGAAAAATGCCTGTTGCATCCCTGGGAGGAGCTCAATATTTCTTACTCTTGAAAGACGATGCTACTGGCTTCCGCACTGTATATTTTCTCAAGAGCAAAGACGAAGCCAAGGATCGTATCAAATGCTACATTGAATTTATGGAAAATCAAACAGGAAGAAAGGTCAAGATATGCCGTTGAGACAATGGTGGAGAATTCTGTAATTCTACTTTGGCATCATACTTCAGAGACCGGGGAATAATTCATGAAACAACCGTCAGCTACAATCCAGAAATGAATGGGAGGTCCGAACGTGAAATAAGAACTTTAAAAGACTGTGCTCGAACTATTCTGCTGGCAGCTAAATTACCCGAATCTTTATGGGCTGAAGCCGTTGCCACCACCGTCTACGTCCACAACCGAATACTGGACAAGCAAAGTCCAAATATAACCGCATTTGAAGCAATATTTGGCAAGAAACCTTCACTCCGTCATTTGAGAGTCTTTGGTAGCGTAGCATTTGCACATATACCAGCCCAGAAAAGGACGGTCTGGGGAGCAAAGGGAGAGCGACTTATCCTGTGTGGGTACGCATCAGAGAGCAAGAAATATCGTCTTTACGACCCTGAGACCGGACAAGTGGTTGAGGCAAGAAATGTATCTTTCCACGAAGAAGCTTTTGAACCGACAGTAATGATACATGGCGAAGAAGAAAGAAATGAACCTGATGAATCCAAATCTGAAAAGATGATGCAAAAGATGATGCACAAGATGATGCACAAGATGATGCAGAATGGACGGACGAGGAGAAATACGATCCCGAGGACCCACAGCCTGATCAAGTTGACCCACAGCCAGTACAACCTGACAACGAGAAAATGGGTGACGAATTAGAAGTCCAAGTTAAAACTGAAAAAGGAGACTACACGGCTCGCATTCCATCGCAAGGGACGACACGTGTTGTCTTGCCTGAAACAAGTAAAAAATCAGGAACCACTCGCAATTTAAGAGACAGAGCTAAAATTAAGAAACCAGATAGATATCAAGCTCATGCCATTTATGCAGACAAAGAACCTTCAACTTATAAAGAAGCCGTTGAGTCTAAAGAGAAGGAAGAATGGATAAAGGCAATGCAAGATGAGATTGAAAGTCATAAGAAAAATGGGACTTGGAAATACGTGAAGAGGCCAGCCAATGCAAGATTGCTTGACAGTAAATGGGTATACAAGCTTAAAAGTAAAATGGATGGAACAATTGATCGATTTAAAGCCCGGCTTGTCATACGAGGGCATAGACAGAAAGAAGGCGTCGACTATTTTGAGACATTCTCCGCCGTATCTCGGTACGAGTCCATAAGACTTCTACTAAGTATAGCTGCAGCAAAGAAAATGCATATCGCACAGCTGGATGTCCAGACAGCCTATCTCTACGGGATTCTAAAGGAGACCATATACATGTCACAACCTGAGGGTTTCCACAATGGAGATGATTCCATCGTGTGCCTCCTGATCAAGGCTTTATATGGATCGAAACAGGCTGGAAGAACCTGGAATGAAACATTCACCGAATTTCTCGAGAAATTCGACTTGCACCCATGTTACTGCGATCCCTGTATATTTGTTGGAGATGTTGATGCAATAATCACTTATCTCAGCTTATGGGTGGATGATTCACTGGTCATTGGAAAAGATAAAAATGCCGTGCAGAAGATCATCAATGCAATCAAACCTACTTTGAAATAACGATAATGGAGCCCACAGCCTATGTTGGGATGCAAATAATCAGAGATGGAAATGATGGTTTACTTTTGTCACAACCTTTTTACATCCGTAACCTGCTTGAAAAGTACAATATGCTGGAGAGCAACCCGACGAATGTGCCGATGCAACCTCATGCAAGAGAACTCGTCCCAGCCGCAACAATAAACGAGACCCTTCCGTATCGACAGCTCGTTGGATCATTAATTTACCTAGCCAAGTGCACACGCCCTGACATCTCATATGCAGTGTCCCGCCTGTCTCAGTTTATGCACGCATACGACGAAACTCACTGGAAAGCTGCAAAGCAAGTCCTCCGCTATTTAAAAGGCACCGAGGAACTCGGAATCAAATACAAACCGTGTGAGGATATGATTCTCAGGGGATATACAGATGCAGATTATGCTTCCGACAAGATGGATAGAAAATCTACAACAGGTTTTGTCTTCATGCTAAATGACAGCGTTATTTCATGGTCAAGCCAAAAGCAACCCATTGTCTCAATGTCATCAATGGAAAGTGAATATATATCTCTCGCTTCTGGAGCGCGTGAAGCCGTTTGGTTACGACGATTTCTAGAAGAATTAGGATTCCCACAAGAGTCCCCAACAATAATTCATGTTGACAACAAGAGTGCAATAAAATTGGTCAAAAATCCAGAGATGCACTCAAGATCCAAGCACATCGATGTCCGGTACCACTACACAAGAGAGCTAGTTAGTACAGGACAGTTGGCAATTGAATATGTACATACCAGTGAACAAATTGCAGATGGATTAACTAAGCCACTACTGAAGACCCAGCATTTCAAGATGAGACACGATCTCAGTATGGAAAGAAATGAGACAAAGGAGAGCAAGGACAACCCAACTAAAGTAAAGAGAGGTCCCCTCCAAGCCAACTTCTCACTGATGAGCCTTCTCACCATCCTTCTTATGTTTATTACGCAAGCTTGTGGGGTGACACATCAGAATGCGATCCCTTTACTATGGAAAAAGAGTCCAATCCCAGTTACAACGGGATATAACCAAGTCCACTTGCTCGTCAAATTCATG